CCAACCCCTCCCCCCCCCCCCCCCCCCCTCCCCCCTAATAAATGGTTGTTTCTTGCTCCAAACATCTATAGAGAGGTGCTAAAGACAACAACAACAAAAAAGACCAATCTTCGAACCATTTTCTGGTAGCACTTGCTATAACTAAGTATACACAGTTACCGCGTACGGCAATACTCGTCTATGATAATAATATCTCCTAGAGTGATCAAATTCAATTTTCAGAAGACCGCCATTACATTATTTTTGCGTCTGTTAAAGCGATTCAAGTGAAATCAAGTGGTGTCAGAGGCAAGCAGGAAGTTACTCCTTTGTGAACAACTTGTACTTCCCACGTTAACAAAAAGTTCGCGATGGATTTGGATGGATTTTGAGAATGCTTAGACCAGGTTAAGAACAATCGTATCAACTGAAATCACTGGACGAAGGTAGTTCAGCCTAGGTACAGCGTTTATACCAGAGAAGCTGGTGGCGGAATGAGCAGAGAGTTCATTTTGCGTTGCTTTTGCGTCGGAGCATTTTTACCCTGCATTGCTGTTGTCATCTGCTACACTTAAATCGTCAACTCTCTCTCTCGAGTCGTTTTTCAGCTCTTTCAGCCTTGTCTCGGCTTCTTTGATTACACTCCGCAGGACATTGTTGATGCCGCCGGCGTTTAAGCTGCATGATCCGCCGCTGTTGTGATTGCTCGTTTCCACCAGGGAATTGTAAAATAATTCACCTTCACTCTCCAGAACTCTGCGAAACGAGGGGTAAATGCACAGGCAAACTGATTCCATTTTCTCTGATGGATACTCCTGCCAGCACTAAGCAGTAACGACTAGCAAGCCCCGTCGGCTTTCCTTAGCCACGAGACTCACGTCAGACTGGAGATTTCTAAAGAATGCACCAGCATTCGAATCTGGGCTTTACGCAGGTCGAGCAAGAACTTGAATTCGGAATCATTTCATTGCGCCGTGCTATCGGGCAGCTGCTTGTTCCCTCGCTCATTATGTGGGCTCGCTGCTCTGTTCCATCGCTCTCTATGACTCTCAAACTCAGTGCTAGAGAAAGTCCTCGCGACTCATTTCACGGCTGTTCGTGCACAAACCTGTCCTCAAAAATCCATCCCGAATTTTTTTCTTAACGGATGTATAGTAGTATTAGTTGTCCATAATGCCTCATCGTGAGGAAATGCTGATAATGTATGTCAGGATTTCTCAATGACGTATGGGTACACAGAGTGTATGCTGCAGTAAGTATGCAGTGCGTACGTGTGTGGCGCTGAGTCTTTTCACAGGTAGAGATCGGGGGGCTATCAGGTTCGGCCTCATTTTCTCTGTGCTGCGCCAATTAGTCCACAAAGGACGAAACAGTTCTGCCCGCAGATTGAGTAATATACTAGTTATGCGGATAGTCACGGCACAATTCAAAAGCGAAAGTGTCTTTTACAGTAAAATTAAATCGGGTATAACTTTGGGTATAGCTTTGCAGCCTAGAGAGCGTGTGTGGGCAGGCGTGTGTTTACCGCCATATTGCCGGGTGTGTCTTAACCACCATATTCATCAACCATAACAATAATCGGGTGTAGTAATATATCTGCTATTGTGATCAAACTGTCATATCAAAAAAACGCCTGACTGCACACATTTTTGGATCGCAATACAAACAATGGCATCTTGCCAAGTCATGTTACATGCTTTTGTGTGCATGTACCTGTCACTTTGTGATGCTTTCCCATGTGTTCTCACTGTCAGTGCAGTGCAAGGTCACAGTCGAGTCTCTTGTGCAAGAAAGTGATTAGCTTTCCACATACTTACCAGTTACCACTAGTGCACTACCGGCATACTACGTACCAAGTGCAGTGCAAAATAATAAGTGTTTTTCAGTAGCATGTGTGCGTGTACTGTGCTGTACTGTAGTACCTCATATAATGGTTATGCTGTCACGAGCACACTGCGCTTCTCATATACATGACATATTGACTTACGTCGCAAAGTCATTACTCTCACCCTAACCAGGACAATCGCATGTATCAAAAATCGTTTATAGTGATCAAATTTCGCTCATTCAAAGACCAACGTAGCCAATCTCTACCTGTATACCCCAATTGCATACAGTACATGTAGTATCGGTCATAGTATATATCGCTTATAGTGATAAAATGCTCAAAATCAAAGACCAACGCTATAGGCGATACATACTCTACTGCCTACTCCTAGCGTTTGGAAGCTAGGGTTGGTTCCTCATCAACTACAATAATATGGTTGCGTAATACTTTCATGTAGTAGGAGAGCATTGCGGAGGTCGGAGATCTTTGATTTCAGTCATGGTGGCAGCCAATTCTTTCCACATGCCTTTCTACCAGGAATAGGTCGAAAATTGTAAGCAATCAACTGTCATACTTTAATTAGTGGTATCACTGAAAGTTACTTGAGAACGGGTTTATTGGCAAAGCGAATTGTGTGAATCACTGAGGGTTACTGCCTCTGCTCACTCGTCTTTACACCTTGCTAACACCCAGCCCAAGCTAATGCAAAGTAACTCTTCTGAACAATTATTGTCCTATTGCTATTTGCAGTGGGTACATGGGACCCGGATATGAAGAGTTCCTTCCTGCAGGCAACCAATCGGAAGAAAACTGCAAAAGAAATTGCCCAGGAGGCGGAGGATGCTTGGAATGAGGAATATGATAGGCCCAAGGTTAGTAGTGACTTTTCTTTTTCTATATCTGTTTCCGTTTTCGGGTCGTCTTTGTGCTGTTGTGGCCATTTCTGCCCCTGTACCCCCCCCCCCCATCTCTCTCTCTCTCTCTCTCTCTCTTCTCTTCAATTCTGTACCCCTCTATCATGCATTATTCCCGTAGCTATGCAAAAGACGTTACTTCAGTAACGTCTGGCGCTAGCCAGGGTCCATACAGCTTTAATTCCGTGTTTGGTTGTGCCGTCGGCATGCCTGGCGCTATCCCGTACCATACCATCAAAGACAGCTGGCCACAATATTCAAATAGGGCTTTCAAATGCAAGATCATAACTTGAAGCAATTCGGAAGTATGAGTATGTATGCGAAGTGTATTGGGGGAATGCATGCAGGGCGATAGTGCGGGTTCGAATCCCAGGTTATGTCTTGAAAAACAAGGAGATATGAAAAATGTATAACATCCCTATGCTTTTCTTGCCTAGGTCATCAAAGTGGTAGACGACAATCATGTAGCCAATCAATGGAAGAAAAATATATTTCCATCAGTTCTAATAACATGCATGATGAGCTAGGCAAAAAAGCATAGCGTAGGGCCATGAGCTTCTAAGCTCTCTCGTTACCAGTGCTACTGCTCATCCCAGATCTGTTGATTTACTGTTGTTGATTTACTGTTGCAGTAAATCGGTACAGTACTCCCTTTTCCCCTTGCCATGTTACAATGTGTCATGATGTGATTTGATCAAGAACAGTCCACAGGCTCACTGTGTTGCTTTACTGCTTTCAATCAAAGTTGTATGTACGAGTTGTTCGCAGAGTAGGAGAATGCCTAGGCTCACTTGAGACTTGAGTAGGTGCTCTTGTCAAATTCCTGGATTATGCCACATTCTCATTGTCACCTACTTTGAGTATTAGGACAACTGGCATGTTCACTTGAAGAGGACTGGCGGGTCTTTCAGGGCTTGTTTCATTAGGGTGATATTTGTAGCAATAGTCATACCAGAATTAACTGTATAGCTCTGATGTATTGTGTTAATGTCCATCATGCACAGGGAAAGAAAGTCAAGAAGAAGAAACCGTTGCCAGACAATGACGTCAGTAAACCGAAAGTCAATCCTTTCCAGGTTATACATGAGAAGAAATATTCCAAGGTAAGCGCTTGATGTTCTCACTAGCCATATCTTTTCCTAAAAAAAGAACAAAAACACTTTCGTTTCTTTCTTTTCAATTTGCGAGCGAGAACCAAATTTTGGTCAAAATTATTTTTCACACCCCGCTACACTCACTGCAGGCATGCATCCCCCACTCCCTCCCCCCCCCCCCCCCCCCTCCCCCCCCCACACACACACACTCCACGGAACACGGCAACTGTGCCTACAGGTTGAAGCCAGGCTACTACTACTACTACAAGAGAGACAAAGCATATCTGGCGGAAGTCAGTCCTGACGTGATTGCGACTGGTATCTGAAGACCGGCAGTTGCACATAGCTGGAGAACAGAGAAAAAAGACTTCAGCACCAATATGCTGTACTGTGCAGATTTACTTTTTCAGTTGGTAATTTACGCCGTTCTGTTGAGCATATAGCGGGATTCACCCAAATCTCTTCGTCTGACCAAGCAAGGTGCATTCAGGCTCTGAATCCTTGCTAGAAGCTTGCGATACTGATCTGGCCCTTCTACAGTGGCACTAAAATTCTTTCTACACTGCACACTATTTGGACAGCTGTTCTTTCATGAGCATGTATGATATTTTCTCAAGTCAAACCCTCACTGGTTTCAGTTGTATACGCTGAGTGTATAAGCTGCAGCATATCTTGAAAGCAAATTGTCCTACATTGTACTACAGTTTGTATGAAAATGGAAACTTCCAGGCATGGGTTACTGAGGCAATTATGTTTACCTATAAAATCGTCATGAAAAGTGCAACTTTGACCAAGTAAATGAGGTATCATGTTATGGGAGTGGGGTGCTACTGCTGCTGCTGCTGCCATCGTCTTCGTCGTCGTCGTCGTCGTCATCGTCGTTGCTGTTTCAAATCTTTATTATCAGGATAGCCGGTGTTTCAAATCTATATTCTCACGATGGCCTGTGACCAATAATAGATAACAATCAGTCATAGTGAGATTTACACCACATAGAGGGTGTGGAATGTATGATTAAGGAAATGTCATGGTTAGCAGTGAGCAAACTAGATGTACGGGTGAGCGTGGTTCTGGTGATTGAATATCGCGTAACGTTGATGAGAGGCCGTTGAAATAATGGAGCTATTTTTAGTTTCTACAGAGGGGAACCCAGTCAGCGGTTGGTTGTCGCAGTTGGCAAATGCCAAGTGCGACTGTACTTTACCTTGTATTGACACAACGTGGGATGGCGAGCATTAGATTATGAGGCGGGGGGGGGGGGGGGTACTTGTGCTGGGTGAAGTAGGCAAACACTATGTGTTTTAAAGTGGGAGAAGAGAGTGGGCCACTTGATGCGGGGTGGAAGGTCAGAGTGGTTAATATGGGTGTTGAGAGAGAGAGAGGTGGAGGCATAATCTTGCAGTTTTTCGCTGGATTCTCTGTAGCTTGTCTAAGCTAGTGTGGGATGTGGGGGTTGCAGCGATGCTTGCGTAAGCGTACAGGGGTATGATGCGTGAAGTATAGTGTTGCGATGGTTGCAAGAGCAGAAGTGGTAAGGGTTGATCTTAGGTGGAAGAGCAAGTTGAGTGACTTGGGTGATTCGCCGTAATACTTTCGAAGTGTTTTGTCCAGTGCAGGTCATGTTGGAGTATTATTCGAAGGTGATGGTGCTGTATTACTGTTTCCAGCAGAGTTTTCCCAAGAGTTATTTCGGGTAGTCGTAATGGGGGTCGGTTTGCATGGTAGAACTGGAGGATGACAGTGCTGGTTTTATTGACTAGCAGGTGCCAGCGCTCTAGCCATTCTGCTGCAGCATCGATGCTTCCTTGTAGCGCAGCTTCACATTCAATGGACATGCCTGCACTGGCAATCAGTGCGGTGTCGTCCGCGAAATGGCTACACAAGGTTGCAGCATTTCCACAGGCAGTGGGCAGGTCAATGGTGTATGCCAGGAACAGAAGTGGTCCCAGGACAGAGCCCTGGGGCACTCCGGCTGGAAGTGGTGTGAAGGCAGATGCTGTGCCTTCAATCTGCACCACACTGTCTACATCCTGTCAAGTAGGCTTCGAGCTCCTTGTGAGGGTTGCCATTAACAACGTAATGGCTCAGCTTTTTCAGCAAGTCTTGATGCTATACGCGATCGAACGCGTTGCTTAGGTCAAAGAAGCACGCAACAACATGCTTCCCAGCATCCCTAGTTGTTGATATCTGGGGTACGATCCATGCTACTTGCAGTTTGGTCCCATCTTGTTTCCTGAATCGGGATTGGTTGGGAGGTAAGTGTGGTGCTATGTGATTGTACAGACGAGAGTGGACTATTGTTTCTTGTGTTTTTGATATTATACTGAGCAGGGAGATGGGTCGGTAGTAGGTAGGATGGGAGGGGTTGCCCGACTTGGGGATGGGTGTAATAGTTGCGTCTCTCCAATCCTGTGGTATATCTCCTGATCTGAAGTTCAGATTGTAGAGACTAGTCAGAGATGAGGAGATTTCTTTTGCAGTTTCCTTCAGGAGGCGAGTCAAGGTGTTGTCAAAGCCTGTGCTCTTGCCAGTATCCAGACTACTTAGAAGTTTCTCGACCTCTTCCACTGTTGCTGCGATTGTACTCGGGGTATGAGTTATATCAGGGGTGGTGTTGATATCTGGTGTAGTGCAGGCGGTCTTGTTGATGGACTGTTGGCTTTGAGAGATGAAGAACTCATTCAGAGTTGTTGCCTTCTCCATGGCCGTGGCTGCAGAGGAGCTGGCTGTTAGTAGTGTGGGTATGGTTTGTTGGAATACAGTCAACTTCGCTTATAACGACACTCAGCGGGGCATCAGAAAAGTGTCGTTATTCACAAAGTGTCGTTATACCCAAAGTCTCATTTTATGTATTACAGTTACATGGGACTTTGCTCTGGGCATGGAAATTCTGTCGTTATTCGCGAATTGTCGTTATATCCGCAGTCGTTATTAGCGAAGTTGACTGTATGTATGAGCATAGGTCAAGGAACTAGCACTTCAAGTAGTTGTATCACCCATTGACAGCATGTGAACGTGTGGAGGTCGCGTATCAGGACTTTACAATAATTATAGATGCTCTGGACTTACCTCACATGCACACCTTTCATGCAACACATAGGTTTTGTGTTAGGAAGGAACTGTCACCTATCTTGCGCCTATCACACATGTACATTGCGCTTGGCACACATGTACATTGCGCTTGGCGCACATGTAAACTTTCTATACACACTATGCTAGTAATAATCATGCTGGCGCACTTTGTTCGCACATCTGTAAGGCGCGACATTAAGCTCTTGCATGGCACTAGTTGTAGCATCTTCTAGGCGCTGGTCCTTGTCACTGGACCTTCTTCTAGATTCTCGTATATTTCGCTTCTGTCTCTTGTCAGCTTGCTGATACCATTATCGCCTTGCTCGCTATACAGGCACACTATGGCACTCTTTTGAGGTCATGGCATATTGCATTCATATACAGTCTTCAAGAATGATTGTATGAGCCACTGTGACTAGATGTGGATCGAGTCAGCGCATCGGTTGCTGGAAGGTCTGAATTAGAGAAGGGATTCGGAACATGGTTTTTGCTTAGGCGCTTTCTTGGGGTGCTTCACTAGGCGTTGGAGGCTTGTCCCTGTCGACGTTGTTTGCTGGACAAAACTAGACCTAGCGTTTCGCAAAGGAGCGGTTACTTGGTTTCTATGAGCTGTGAAGAGCTTCCAGTCAGTGGGGAACGGTTGATGTTCCCAACACTACTGCCGAATGGGACTGTGGGGGACGGTAGATGTTCCCTACCATATGGGGAGGCTTGACCGGTTGTTACTAGAATCCCAAATACATTCCGTGTCAGTCATGGGAATGGTGTCTCGTGTCGGCAGCTGTGCGGTATGTATATGGCAACTCCTCCACCAAAGGCGTCCCTGTCCGCTCTTATGAGTTTGTAGCCATCAATGGTGTACATCCCATCACTGTCCGATGGATATGACCAGCTTTCCTGTATGGCGATGATTGAGGGGGGGGGGGGTTGCAAATCTGCCACGTGATGGAGCTCATTCATCTTATTCAACAAGCACCTGGCATTCGAGCTAATAAAATTCACGATTTCCATTATAAGTTATAATCCATTATATATTTCATTTTTATAATTTGTTTTGCCTTGGTGTATCCGCATTTGAAGGTATTGTTCTCACTGATATTGTGGAGAGCAACTGTAGGCTAGGATTGAATATCATGTGACACCAGATCATGTGACACCAGTGGGCTGAAGCATAAACCCTGTGCTGCTGGGGTATGGGATTGGCTGTGGGCAGAGTGGATGTTGTTGCTCCCTTTTTGCTTTGATTGTTGTTGTTTGAAATCTTTTATTCTCACGATGGCCTGTGGCTAATAAGAGATTGTTGTTGTTGTTGTTGTTGTTGTTGTTGTTGTTGTTGTTGTTGTTGTTGTTGTTGTTGTTGTTGTTGTTGTTGTTGTTGTTGTTGTTGTTGTTGTTGTTGTTGTTGTTTGAATTCTTTATTCTCACGATGGCACCATCGCCAATACTGTTGTTGTTGTTGTTGTTGTTGTTGTTGTTGTTGTTGTTGTTGTTGTTGTTGTTGTTGTTGTTGTTGTTGTTGTTGTTGTTGTTGTTGTTGTTGCTGCTGCTGCTGCTGCTGCTGCTGCTGCTGCTGCTGCTGCTGCTGCTGCTGCTGCTGTTGCTGCTGCTGCTGTTGTTGTTGTTGTTGTTGTTGTCAGAAAGTTTTTTCTAGTTGTGGTCATTGATCACTACTATTGGATGATTTGTTTTCTTGTGTAGGCGGCCTTGGCAGAAAAGGCTGAGAAAGAATTCCTGCAGAAGACGAATCGGTGGCTGAAAGAACAAGGCATCAAGATGAGTGCAACCAAGTACCTCAATGACCTTAGGAGTAAGGCCACACCCACGCTAGCTAAAAATGGTGAGATTGGCTTTTGCGTAAAGCACGATTCACAACTTTCTGAGATATGATATGCGACATGTGACACTTGTAACGAAGAGTTGCCTGTTGCGTACTGCTGCAAACAATCGCAGCAGCTGACCAACATTCGACCCTTTGCGACATATGACACACTGCGGCTTACATCAATGGAGTACAGTTCTTACATCAATGGAGTACAGTTCTTACACCAATGGAGTACAGTTCTTACACCAATGGAGTACAGTTCTTACATCAATGGAGTACAGTTCTTACATCAACGGAGTGCAGTTTACTAGGCTGGGTGCGCCTGCATGTTTTGTGCGCTGCGGACAATGCAGAAAAAAACAAAATTATTGTGTAATGTGTGCCGTGGTTGCAGCTCGTCGCAGGTGTCACATGTCGTGTATCACATAGCAAAATGTGGTGCATGTAGCGTGAATTATGCTCCATGGAGATTGAGTGCTTTGGGTTGCCGGGTATTCGCTCTATTACTGGAGGCTGTGTGGATAGCGAGGCGAGGCTTCCTTGTTACAGTTCATAGAGCCTGGTGCTGTACTGCCTAATTACACAACACCAGGTTTGATACTGGTTCAATGTGTACATGTGTGTGTATGTGTGTGTGTGTGTGCGTGCGTGCGTGCGTGCGTGCGCGCGCGCGGGATGGCGGGCGGGCGGGCGTGCGGGCGTGGTGTACATGTGCGTGTGTGCGTGCGTGTAACTGGCTAGCTACAGGTACAGCTAGATTGTACAGCTCACGTGAATCTACGTTGTATAGAGAGTGCGCACTTCAGGGACAGCGCCGTAGCGTGCGTTATGTCGAGGTTTACGTTATGTTGGATTACGGTGTGCAGAACAAAATTTTGTATGGGAGTGATGCTGTTTCGGTGTGGGATTTTTAGTAATTGTTACGTACTAGCGAGGTCTATGTACCTGTGAGAGTTGTTATATGGAGAGGAGACCTGTACATGCATGACACCGGTATGTGCATGTTTATGACACATGCCTCTACATGCACATCTGCAATCAATATCTGGCATTGTGTTCTCTCCAGAGGGGAGTGTCGTTATATCACGACTCCACTATATCTTTCATAACACTAGGGCTGAAACGAACGCTCAATGAAGCGAACGAATATTCTTTTTTTCCGAATACACCTGAAACGAAGAATATTCCGAATATTTTGAACTATGCAATATCCATGGATACCTAGTTGTATCCATGGTAACCATAGACCATCAACTGGTGGCTACCCATTTTATGAAGAGACATTTGAAAAGGACATCTTCATTGGCTTGCTGATGATAACACATGGATGGAGACAAGCCTACACATATTCTGCACCACATAAGCCTATTCTATATCAAAAAGACGGGGTTCTACACATTTATGAATATTCTTATTCCTCATAAATGAAGAATATTCTTTTTCTGGACTTGGATGGAGAGCCAAGGATAAATTAATAGAAAAAGAAAAGGGCCAAGGAACTACAAGTTACGCTATAATGTGCAATGTTATCGTATGAGCTGATTGGTTAGGAACTGGCGGTGTTAGTGGACATTATAGCGTAACTTGTACAAGACTGAGTTCCTTGGTCCTTTCTCTTTTCTGTAAATTCTTTTTCTGGTCTGCATATGTCGAATATTCCTTTCAGCCCACGATAAAATACTCGATGGTTATGATTCCGAAGGCAGAAAGCTGAAGAGTCCCGACACAACTACCGCTGAGGACAACGCAAATCCACCCCCGAAGACACCGAAGAAAACGAAAAAGATCAGTTCGTCTAAAGGTAATAGTGCGATGCATGTCTGTCTACATCTTATTTCATCAACTTTAGGGAATGAAAAGGGAAAGTAATAGGATCGTGAGTGTGATTGCTCTGGTAGACCACTACCCCATGTACTGAACAGTCGCTTTGTGAGTGAAAAAGGATCCCTCAACTCAAAATACGATCTCTTTGCTGCATACATCACTAGAATGTTCACTAAATTTTCTGGCTTGGCCCGTCATCAGGGTAAAAAACAGTTTACAGTTTTCACACTGATTATGGGCCATGGCCGAAGATTTGGTGAACATTTTAAATGACGTATGCAGCAGGGAAAGAGACGGTATTTTGATTGTGTGAGTTGAGGTACTCTAATGTGTAGATGACTGCAATGCAGTCTGCGAGTACTAATAGAAAGGGGAAAGTGTGTGAAAATATTATTGTCACCACAACGACATCAGGCCTCAAACAAGGGACGTTCGCTACAGGCCAGCGGTGCTCTACCACACAGCAGTGCCACCGCTAAGTTACGAGACTCATATGCTGCGGTCGCTATCCAAACTCAGACCGTTTAACGAAGCTCGATACTACTGCAAGTCAACAAATGTTCGGCGCAAATTTATTTTTCGGCTATTTTCGGCCTGGTCATGTTTGGCCGCAGATTTGTTGCGGCCAAAATTTTGTTTTGCAAGGTTCAGTGTGACAGTGACAGTGTATACAGTGTATACAGGCGGCAGCAGTACAGGCTGGAAATTTGATGCGGTCGAAATGGGTTTGAGCAATGGGAGGCCGTAATTTAAATGGGCCGACTTTTTTTAGACTTACAGTAAGTCACAAACTGGTCTTCTGAGCATCCTTCTACGCATGTCATCAGTGGTAATATTATGACTTTCTGCCCCTCATCAGTCTAGCCCCCTCGTGGACAACTTTTTCTCCATGGTGTTTTTCACTGAAATTTACAGCAGGAATTTGCCCAAGTGCCCCATATAACCTTTTGTTTTTCCTATTCAGCAAGGGTGTGACTTGACATATAAGCTGCAAAACAGGAGCATCTTCGGAATTTATTTTTATTTTTTATGCTAGCAATGACTTTCACGCGGAATTCACTGCAGGCGAAAGGCTATGGAATATTGCAATGGGTGAAAAGTCTGGAATCTGCTGTGTAGATATTGATACGTTACTATTTATTCGTGAAGACTTGGGAACGGAAACAAAACATGTCATGAGAAAGAACAACAGGAAAAAGAAGCACACTCAACTAATCCGTGTGTGTGCGTGCATGCAGTACAACTATGACGTAATGAATATAGATACACATCACGCCCCTTCGAGATGTTGCGAAACCTGTGACAGCAACATCTATCATAAATAAAACAAAATGAAGAATGAAAACAACAAAGCAGAGACAGCAGAAATTGACATTAGTGATCAAGAGTGTCAATCATAGGACTGTCCATGATGCGAACCAATGTTTAAATGCTGGGGTGGCTTGCGCTGACGTGCGCTGCGGCGGGACGGCGGCGGCTGGGAAGAGGCGTCAGCAGCAGCCGGTTGGACAACGAGCGGTGCAGGCACAAGTGGGCGATACGGACGCAGGAATCTGCGGCTCCGCCAATAAATGCGACCACTCGGCAACTTCACTAGGTAGTCCCGATGATTACCGACAGCAACAATGACCCCACGAATAGACCACTGCTTGGTGCGCGGATGCTGAACATCCACGTGGGTGCCGAGGCGGAGCTGCGGCAACGAGCGACGAGTTGACGACTTGTCTGTGACGGCATCGTCGGATGGCATGGCAGTCTCATCACGTGTCGTCGTTTTGGAGAGCCAGGATGAATCAAACTCCTTCCAATGTGCAATGACGAATGACTGGAGAGAGCGGCCATATAGGAGCTCAGCGGGGCTCTGGCCAGAGGAGCCAGGTGTGTTTCGCCATTCCAGGAGCCCTCGGCGGAAGTCATCTGTGTCAAGATTGCCATTCACGGTTGTCTTGGTGATAAGACGCTTCATGGCTTTGACAGCAGCTTCGGCGTGCCCATTACTCTGCGGGTAGTGGGGAGAGGATATGACATGGTTTACCTGCCAGCGCGTACAGAACTCAGCAAACTTATGCGAGGAGAACTGGGGACCACCATCTGTACACAGTACAGCAGGAACACCAACATCAGAGAACCAGCGACGGAATGCTAGTATCACGTCATGCGATGAGGTGGTGCGGCCAGTACGCGAGACACAGGGCCATCCGGTCAAACGATCTGCATACACAAGGAAGTCGTGACCTTGACAAGTGAACAAATCGGCAGATGCACATTCAAACGGTAGTGTCGGGGTGCGGTCGTTCAGCAGGGGCTCAGCTGGCTGGGACGACTGGTGTTCGCGGCAAGCAAGACAAGAACGAACGAGTGTATCAATGTCCTTGGTGATACCGGACCAGTATACAAGCTGACGCGCATGAGACTTAGTACGCACTAGGCCTTGGTGTGAAGCGTGGAGGTTGTGCAATACCTGAGCACGCAATGATTCAGGAACAACAATGCGGTTGCCCTTCAACACAATGCCATGGTCGACGGAGAGATGCTCACGTCCATTCCAGTACGCACGTAACGGAGCAGGCAACTTCTGCTGGCGATCAGGGAATCCAGTCAAGATACACTCAATCAATGACTGGTACGTGGCATCTGCAGCTGCAGCTTCACGCAGCTCTGCAACCTTGAGATTCGCATTCGGCTCAGTGTCCGAGTGCACCATGCAGATCTGAATGCTGCGGCAATAAAGCGACGGGGCTTCACCAAGCTCATCAGTGGTGGAAGGAATGCCAACAGGATTCCGGGACAGCGCATCGGCGAAGGCATTTTCAGAACCTTTTCGCCAAGATGCCTGCAGCTGATAGGCTTGGAGCTTGAGGCGTAATCGTAGAAGACGCGGGTTCTCGATCTGATCCAACGAATATGAGTTGATGATCGGAATCAGGGGCTTGTGGTCGGTGACTACTTCAAATGGCGCACCAGACAGGTAGATGCGGCATTTGCGCACGGCCCATACTACAGCGAGCATTTCCAACTCGATGACAGCATAACGTGTTTCAGCATCAGACAGGTAGCGGGATCCACACTGAATAATACGCCACTGATCATTCTGCTTTTGCCAAAGCACGAATCCGAGACCTCTTAGAGCGGATGCATCGGTTTCAAGCCGGAGGTCTTGACCAACTTGATAGAAAGCGAGAACCGGAGGAGACAAGAGAGCTTCCTGTGTCCGTCCAAACGCTGCAGTGTGGCTAGCGTCCCACATGAACTCACGGGAGGTCTTGAGCAGGCCACGCAGAGGATTGGTCAACTCGGCTAGATGTGGAGTGAACTCGCCACATTGGTTCACTAGACCGAGGAACGAACGGAGATCGGTTCTGTTGGCGGGTACTGGAAACTGGCGAATACCAGACGTCTTATCATTGTCGACGACCCAGCCATCAGGCGTGACGTTGTAGCCGCAGAAATGGACACGTTGCGTACCGAACACAAACTTGGCGGGGCTGAACGTGATACCATGCTCCCTGGCGCAGAGCAGAATCTCGCGCACGTGGCTGACATGCGACAGAAAGTCGTCGTCGTACGCTAGGCAATCATCGACTACCTTGCCGAGACGCGGGATGGCAGAGAACGCAGCATCAGTGCGCCGGTTGAACTCATCCCCAGCAGATATTAGACCCTGCGGTTCCGTAGATAACGATATCTGCCGTACGGGGTGATAAACGTGGTGAATTCCTGAGCAGTGTCACTGAGAGGAATCTGCCAGTAGCCGTGCCTTGCATCGAGCTTCGTAAAGAACTTAGCAGAGCCAACTCCAGAGACAACGTCACGTGCCGTATGTACGGGATGCGCGGGGCGACGGACTTGGTCGTTCAGCCGCTTGAAGTCAACTGTGAGGCGCTTCTCAGTGCTGCCCTTCTTGTCTACTATGACAATCGGATGGCACCATTCACTGGGGCTCCGTCACTGGTTCAATAATCCCGTCGCTGACCATGCCGTCGAGCTGAGTCTTGATCTGGTCACGGAACGCATACGGTATTGGTCGAGCAGTGTACACACAGGAAGGCTTAGAATCATGCTGTAGCTCAATTTCCATTGGCGGACCTTCCATTGGCTTCAGACCGGAATCCGAGAAAACGTCAGCGAACTCTTGCAGGAGCTGCTCACGTGTCCGCGCTAACTCAGCATCACTAGGATGAGCGCATGACGAAACAGCTGCACAGATCTTGGGTGAAGATGCACCCTCGTGTTCAGCGGTGAATTGGACTGGCCAATCAGGTGGGAGAAACTTCAGCGCACGCAATGAGGTATGAGACAGCCGGGCATCGTGTAGACCCTTGTACACATGGATGACGGTTTCATGCTGCGTCTCACCGACTCGTAGAGTCGCACGTATCTTGCCCAGGTTGCGTAGCGGCTCACCGGTCACAGCCTGCACACAGTCGTGGTCGTCATCTAAGTTCTCGACGAACCCACCGATCTGCGTGAGGTGCTCCTCGCCAATGGCATCAACGTCACTGCCTGTGTCTGGTGTCCAGGACAGTTGGGATGGCTGATCCTCTGTTTGCAGCATGGTCGAAACAGGTACTGTGCGACGGTCCACGCGAGACGCACGCTGTAGCTTCAGCTGTCCAAGCTTGGCAGCAGAGCTAGTCTTCGGCTGTTTCTGGCGCTTGCACATTCGCTGAAAATGCCCAATGCCATGACAGGAGTTGCACTTCTTGCCCTTGGCAGGACATACAGATTTCGTGTGGTCAGAACGACCACAATTTGGACAAGTGGACTTGGCCGCACTTGATGTCTCACTTGGCTTAGAGTCAGCTGGCTTGTGACGTTTCTGCTGCTTGTACGCCGACTGCTTGGCAGCACTTGCCTGGAGGCCAGGACTGGGCATGTGTGCCTTGGTGTGGTATGCTGCTTCCTCCGTCCGACAGAGGGTGACAGCCTGGTCGAGCGTGAGACCATGAGTTGCGAGCAACTTGTGTCGCGTCTCATCGTTCCGCACACCAATGACGACGCGGTCGCGCAGAGATTCCTCCTTGAGGGTACGGCCTCGGCCTTTGCACTGCGCACAGCAGCAAGCATCACACGTTCCACATAGGCTGTGTGACAAGAAGTCGCATGCACTTTGTAGTTCACACAGGGCTGTGTAAAACGCATCAAATGATTCTCCAGCTTGCTGGACACGCTGGTAAAACTCTATGCGGTCCAACAGTGGATTACGTTGCCGTCTGATATACGCCTGAATGCGCTCCAGCATCAGGTCGACGTCAGCTGAAGCTGGTATGCAGATAATATCCTCTCGGATAAAACGTCGCAGCTCCTCATCGAAACACTGACGGAGTGTTGCCACTCTGGCCTCACGAGCCTGGCTGGCCAAATGCTGGCAAACACTCCAGCTTTCAACGAAGGAGTGAAAATCAGCCAGCGTCGCAGACGACAATAAGTGTGGGCAGGAAACACTGTTCACTGGCCGTGGTGCTGAGGTCTGCGAGGTGGACTGAGCTGGTGCTGAGGGCTGCGGAGTGAACTGAGGCTGCGATGGTGATAGCGACCTGCTCTGAACATTCTTGAACAGATCTTGCATCGCCTTATCACGAGCCTCAGCTGCACGCATCTGCTGCTCCATAAATTTCATCAGGACACCCATTTGAGATTCCTGCTGTCGCTCGGTCGCGGAGGACAGGTCAAATCCGGTATCGTCCTGTGATTGTTCCATTACGATTAGTCACTCTCGTCCACGAGTACGAACAAATACACTACTAAAATAATTCAACTGAGACAGAGTTTCGATCGCGGAAACTACTACTTCACACGGAAAAAACAACTGGGCCCGTGCAAACACTACAAGGTGCGGACACAAGGCACGGACACAGGAAAGAACAAGTTCACTGCGCCATGATATGTTACTATTTATTCGTGAAGACTTGGGAACGGAAACAAAACATGTCATGAGAAAGAACAACAGGAAAAAGAAGCACACTCAACTAATCCGTGTGTGTGCGTGCATGCAGTACAACTATGACGTAATGAATATAGATACACATCAGATATGTTACTCCATACAGGAGACCTGTTGGCAGGAACTACACCATGATATTAGCCTATGCAAAGCTATCTACCAAAGTAGGCCTTAGGGAGGAATCTCACACAATTTCTGCACTATCTAAAATCCGATATCTTTCAAAGCGGCATACTGGAAGATGATGCCTAAATAGTATACCCTCCCCCTAACAAATGGTCATTTCTTGCTCCGGACATCTACAGGTGCTGAAGACGAAAAAAACACAGACCAATCTTTAGACCAATTTGTTGGTATTGAGCTACCTTCCAAAACATTTTGTTCAGACCTCGAAGTTCACGCTTTCATGAAGGAAGCTACACAGTTGCACATCCCTCACTGTCCAGGCGCGTACGCAGGGGGGGGTTTCCCGTTGCCCGGAAACCCCCCAAATGTTCCAAACGAGCAACGTTTTTGGGCATTTTAGGTAGGGCGCATGATCGATCTGGCAAGAATGTAAAACTTCAAAAGATCGTAACTCAGTCAAATCTCGCTCAAATCCAACGATCTAAATATCCAGGTCGAATAGAAACCTCTCAGCTGTCAGTTGAAATAATTTGCGAAGCGCTGTGAGCAATGTATCGTGAGATAAATCATTCATAAGTTGAGCCGCGATCTCGGCAATTTCAAAGTGCGACTTGAGTATCGAGAATTTGAGATTTTCGTCGCGCTGATTTGCTCAAATTTGCAGGGGCTTCACTTGTGATATTTTCAAAAGTAGACAGCAAAAAAATCGAAACTCTGCGATCAAGAAAAACGAAATCGCTGGAGCAAGATGCGTTTGAGCCTGTTTGGGGCATATTTCGCACCGTCGCTGCACTCTACCGCTATAGCCTATAGCGCTGGATATGTACATTACTGTACTGCGTCCTGGCTATCATGGTCGACCTCATTCTCTCCCTGGTACCTTTCCACTTCCAGAAAGCCCAAGATAATGAAGATTGAGTGAGTAGAACTGAAGTTCTGATCCAAACAACACGAAAAAATGCATAATTTTGAAATTTTCCTAGGGCTCTTTTATAAAGGGTTAAAACTTAAAACTCATTCATTGTTTGGGATTCGGTTGGAAACCCCCCTAGAGGTGACCCTGCGTACGCGCCTGCTGTCCCACACATACCTGAACTATTATAATAGTATGCGGGGAGCCCTAAGGCATGAATTATTCATTAGTTTGAGGGAATGAAAAGAGGACAAAATACCTTATACAATGTACTAGCAAGTGTTTGTCATACTTGTACGAATTGTTGCGTATTTGTCGTGTTTGTGTATTTGGAAGCTAGTGCTGGTTCCTTATCAACTAAAATGTATGATTGTGTAATACTTTCATGTGGTAAAATACCTTACGTTAGGGATCTCAGCGCGTGCACTGCGCATGCAGTTCGCGCATGCAGCCAAACGCGCATCAGAAGTGGCATGCAGAATTTTTGCCAAACACTGGCTATTTTTTGCAGAAAATTGAGATCTTGAACGAAGGAGAAATGGCTGAAATTTCCTTGCAAGGAGATGGTGGTTACAGGCTACCTGCTTACCAGAATGGGATCTTGTTTGGTATGTTGGCCGCCCATGTGTTCTGGAATCGATTTTTAGCTTTCGTTGGAAGGCGCGAAGCCGTTTTCGTTCCAAACGACAGGGTTCTTTCAGAGCGGAAAATGGCGACCATGCCGATCGTTGCCACGATCTCCGAGTTGAAAATCTCTGGATTTAACCGGGGAAAAGCTCTGGATTCAATGGTAAACCCGGCAGAAATACTTGATGTTGGATGTTGAGAGCTTGCAGGAAATTTGACCGAAGCGTTCATGCTCCACGTGACGGTGTTCGTTCTTGTGAATTTCTGCATTTCTGACATATCGCCGTGCATATGGGCCGTTGTTCCAGAGACATCGATTGTCAGGTGTGGACAGGGTTTTGTTCGAGTAGTCGTGTGGAGACGTGGTTTGGTTCTCACAGGCAACAGGAGCGACTCCTCGGGATGGCGAAAGCCAAATCTACCCAAAGCCGACTTCACGATCGCCGATCTTCTGGCGGCGCATTTTCACTTATGCTCTGCAACAAGCGGCACAAGCTGTGGAAATCGTCAGATGATAATATATATTAGCCTATCAGTGTGCCCAGAACTTCTAGTGACTCTACTGAAGCATTAGCTTGAGTAATCTTTCTTTCTAGCCCTCTCTTTCTCTCTCTCTCTCTCTCTCTGTCCCTCTCTTTCTCTCTAAAAATGTTCCAAACTTCAAAATCTAGGTCGAGCTGCATCGGGGAGTCGTCAAATACCGACTCACTGAGCCGGTTTTTGGCGATCGCCATTTTTTTTCAGTCTGCCATCGCCGCGTTGAAAAATCGATTACATCATTGAATGCGCAAAGCCCTGCGCAGTGTCCGCGCTGACATCCCTACTTACGTCCCAGTGACACTGCTTCCAACATGCAGCATCAACGTCCAGAGCGGGGGAAATCCCATGCCCTCCCCCCCCCCCCCCTCTGCTATTGGTAAATATGTGCTAGTGATGGACACAGCTGGACACAGATAAACACGAAGTAGGAGAGCATTGTGGAGGTCGGAGGCCTCTGATTTCTAGTCCTCGTGGCAACCACTTCTTTCCACATGCCTTTCTCCCAGGCATAGGTCGAATCAACTGTCATACTTTAATTGGTGGTATCATTGAAAGTTACTTGAGAACGGGTTTATTCGCAAAGCAAATTGCGTGGATCACTGAGGGTTACTACCTCAAACTCCTCTTTACACCTTGTTGACACACTGTCTCAGCTAATGCAAATTAACTCTTTTGAACAATTGTCCTATTGCTATTGGCAGCGAAACCATTCGACATAAGGACATGGGACAAGAAAACCAGGAGTTTTATCGAACCGCCGACAACCAAGCGGAGGAGATCTGATCGAGACATTGCCGATGATAAGGAAGATGATAAGCCCAAGGTTAGTGACTTTTCTATTTTCTGCACCTTTTTTTCCTTTCTGGGGTTTTGTTCTGTTGTGGCCATTTATGCCCCTTTACCCCCCCCCCCTCTCTGTCTCCTCCTCTGTTTCTCTGTCTCCTTCTCTGTTTCTTTGTCTCTCTGCCTCTCTGTTTCTCTGTCTCCCTTTTTCCCTGTCTCTCTGTCTCTCTCTCCCTCTCTCGCTATCTCTCTCTCTCTCTCTCTCTCTCTCTCTCTCTCTCTCTCTCTCTCTTTTCTCTTTCTCTTCAAATCTGTTCCCCTCTATCATGCATTACTACCAGTGCTACTGCTTGCCTTAGATCTGTTGATGTACTGTTGCAGTACGGGTACGAGGTGAATTGCTATTTCTGGACATTGTACATATCTGGACATTTCGAGTAAAATAATTTTTCGTCGCATGTAGAGTCAAGTCACTTGAGTTGATGAAGTCCTTTCTTCCTGTAGTCGACAGCTGGGCTGTTGTAGTTTCTCCTCGTGTCGGTGCCTTGTTGATAACCTCTGCTTGTGCGGCATTTCAACTAGTTTTGTGGCACGATATCGGATTAGAATTTTGAAGTAAAATAAGAAGAATGTAGTAATGAATCGTTGGCTTCTCCATGTGCACTCCACGTCAGACACTGTATAGTACTGGAATTGGTGGCTGGAAGTGTGAAGAGGCCAACTGCAGTCCACCGGGAGAAAAAATAACAAAATGGTGGAGTATGGGATGCCAACTGATGTTCTTTTATTTTCATGTCCAGAATTCCCTACAATGAAATTTAGGAATGGACTCGGATGGAGAGCCAAGGATTTATTTATAAGAAATAAAAAAAGAAAAAGGACCAAGGAACTACAAGTTACGCTATAATGTCCACTAACACCACCTGTTACTAAACAATCAGCTCATGCGATAACATTGCACGACACTGACCGACGGTACTGACGTTCTACAACTATGTGGCTAACAGCTCTAGCACATTTTGGGTGCGCTCTCCAACAGCCTTCCAACTTGGAAGGTTCTTAGTTATAGAAATAACATAAGGAGGGGAAGGTGAGCGCAACCAAGATAAGCACGAGCTGAAAGTCTCAGATGTGAAGGACGTTGGCGGATGTTCATGCATGTCGATGACGATACTGGCAAGACCATTGGACAATACTGCCAAACCACGATTCAAGGACGCAAAGCAACATTCCATACGACTTGTGTGGCTCAAAAGATGGGAAGATCAAGCTGTTTTACTGAGGCGTTTGGTTTTGCATAATTCTTGTTCGCCTAGCTTCCCTTTTTATTGATCTTCGCATCTTTTGAGCCCCACAAGTTGTGTGGAATGTTGCTTTGCGTCCTTGAATCGTGGTTTGACCGTATTGTCCAATTGTTTTGCCAGTATCGTCATCGACATGCATGAACATCCGCCAACGTCCTTCACAGCTGAGACTTTCAGCTCGTGCTTAACTTGGTTGCGCTCACCTTCCCCTCCTTATGTTATTTCTATAACTAAGAACCTTCCAAGTTGGAAGGCTGTTGGAGTGCCCATCCAAGATGTGCTAGAGCTGTTAGCCAGTTAGTTGTAGAACGCCAGTACCGTCGGTCAGTGTCGTGCAATGTTATCGCATGAGCTGATTGTTTAGTAACTGGTGGTGTTAGTGGACATTATAGCATAACTTGTAGTTCCTTGGTCCTTTTTCTTTTTTCTTTCCTATAAATGAAATTTTGGCAAAAAATAAGCCTGTCAAGAATGTCCTAGCAAGTCTCTGGGATCAAAGCATAAGCAATTGTTACATATTTGGAAATATGAAGGATTAGGCCATGCAATAAGTACAAAAAGATAAGAAGAATGTAAAACACACAGCCAGTGGGGCTCTATTTTATTTTCATGTCCAGAAATTGCCATTCTCCTTGTACTGTACTGTCATCTCCCCTTGCCGTGTTACAATGTCTCATGCTGTGAATTGATCAAGAAAAGTCCACCAGTTCACTCTGTTGGTTTACTACTTTCAATCAGAGTTGTATGAACGGAGTTGTTCGCAGAGTAGGAGAATGATTAGGCTCACTGGAGACTTGAGCAGGTGCTCCTGTGAAAATTCCTGGATTGCACCACATTCTCATTGTTACCTACTTGGAGTATGAGGAAAGCTGGCATGTTCACTTGGAGAGGTCTGGCGGGTCTTTCAGGGCTTTTTTCATCAGTGTGATACAGGTCCTCCCTCGTTAGTAGATAATCTCTGGGCCATCGAAAAAGTTGTCTTATAACGAGACTCATCTTGTAGCAGGACTTGCAGCTAAAGGTGAAATAGGCACTACTTCGTACTTACCGGGGCTACCCTCGATACAACATAAATTATCGATGCTTCAACTCGTTATAAGATAATTGAACATCTCCAGCATAACTCTTCCTTGGATGCAAAGGATTGTCCATATTGACGAATACATGTACATAGATATAATACGTTTCGTCTTTCTGCTTTATCCTACGTGCTTTTGCCTTGGTCCTGCATGGTCAATATTATCTTATACTGAGGGTCTGGCACTCCAGGGACCTGGGCAAAGGGTCGTTATAATGGATTTTATGTACTAACGTATTATGTTGTAACCGGACCTGTTAACAGTTTTATAGACCTCGTTTCGCCAGGGGATTTCAGATTTCTATTTACTAACGGGGTTTATGTACTATTCGGACTCGTTATAATGAGGAAGGACCTGTATTTGTAGCAATAGTCCTACCAGCATACAATGTATAACTCTGATGTATTGTGTTTATGTACATCATGCACAGGGAAAGAAAGTCGAGAGTGTTGCAAGAGCGTTGCCAGACAATGTCAGGAAGCCACAAGACAATCCTTTCCAGCATGCACATGAAAAGAAATTTTCCAAGGTAAGCACTTGATGTTCTCACTAACAATATCTCTTTCTAAAAAGGAACAACACTTTTCGTTTCTTTCTTTTCAATTTGCGAACGAGAACCACATTCTTGGTAAAAAAAAATATATTTTTCACATCCCACTACACCCACTGCAGGCATACACTCCCTCCCCCGCCCTCCCCCCACCCCTCTCCCCGCCCTCCCCCACCCCACCCCACTCCCTCCCCCGCCCTCCCCCACCCCACTCCCTCCCTCCCCCACCACTCCACGGAACACGGCAACTGCGCCCACAGGTTGCAGCCAGGCTACTACTGCAAGAGAGACAAAGCATACTCGTATCTGGCGCAAGTCAGTCCTGAACTGATTGCTACTGGTACCTGAAGCCCAACAGTTGCACATAGCTAAAGAATAGAGAAAGATGACTTCAGCACCAATATGTCTACAGTGTGCTGAACAGAATTTTCAGTTTTGTTGTTTATGTCGTTCTGTTGAGCATGTGGCGGGATTCTCCCAAATCTCTTCGTCAGACCAAGCAAGGTGCACTCAGACTCTAAATCCTCGCTAGAAGCGTGTGATAATGATCTGGCCTTTCTACTGCTCTACTCCTTTCTACACGGGGCACTATTTGGACAGCTGTTCTTTCATGAGCATGCATGATATCTTCTCAAGTCAAACCCTCACTGGTTTCAGTTGTATACGCTGAGTGTATAAGCTGCAGCATATCTTGGAAGCTAATTGTCCTACATTCTACACACGTTTGTATGAAGATGAGACCTTCCGGGCATGGGCTACTGAGGGAATTATGTTTGCCTATAAATCCTCCTGACAGACATGTGCAACTTTGGCCAAGTAAATGATGGTATTATGTTATGGGAGTGGCATGGGGGGGGGGGGGGAATGACCTATTTTTCTGTATGCTTGTGTACTAGTGCTGCTGCTGCCGCTGCCGTTGTTGAAATATTTTGCTAGCAGTGGTCACTCGTCACTACTATTAGGTGATCTGCTGTGTTGCCACACCTGCTGACATGTCAGCAGCCTGCCAAGTTTAAAGGCACGCCACGACCTGCTGACAACAGTTATGGATGCCCACTTTTGACACTCTTTGTTAATAAGTCATTGTCCATATTTCTTTGTTGTTACTGAACATCATAGGCGTTACCACAGCTCTCCCCTAAAGTGCTAAGCAAGTTAGTCAGCTCTCTGTAGGAAGTCGTGGGCGGTGACATTACAAAACGAGAAAGTTCTGTATGTGTAGTCTGGGTTTGGTAGGAATGGGGTCCGCGGTCTCCTTCCCCGGATGATGAATTTAATTTTTTATATTAACCTACTCACATTTGGGTAAAATGATGTGGCAACACTGCGTCTGTTTTCTTTTGTAGGCACCCTCGTCTATCCCAACCATCAGTCCTCAGCCAAACAAGGCTAACAAAGAACGACAACAACAGCAGCAGCAGCAGCGGTCTCCATCTCAAAATGGCTTGGCCAAGAAGAGTGGTATTGTCAGCAGTGAAACGGACAAGCAGAAGAGACCGCAGCAAGCTGAGAATAGTAAGATTGGTTTTTACGTAAAGCACGATTCACAAGAGCATTTTTATGGTGCAATTCTCTACGTAGGTCAGTGTATTGACCGGAACTGGTATTTGCCAAGTAGGAGCTTTTACAGTACAACCACTTTGTATACCGAATCGATGAGGATGGGTGTTGACGGGAAAAGAAGAGTGTGTGTTCTTCAATAGTTCTTCCCCGTGAAGTACTTGCTACTGGCCAGGCTCACTCAAAAGCCTAATGGTGAATTCATTTCAAGCCTAGATTTATGAGCAGTGTTTAAAGTGTACACAATTGTGCGTGTATAGTTTGGCACGTCCCACAGCATGCAACTCTTTGTATCACAAATGCTTGCCAATGATCCTCTCTTTTATGTTGGCTTCACATGTAATCAGTTTTTCTTGATTGTGGCGCATTCCGAGCATGTCACGTATGAGCGGCACATTTCACTTGCTGCCTAATGCTTTTGACCCACCACATGATGTGGCCTATCTTGTTTATACGCGTATTTTGATGCGGGTGAATGCGTATGTGCTTACATTTGTGATTTTATGTGTACCTGTGGCGAACTTCTGGGATATGATCGACCGTCGTGAAGGCAGGAAGAGGAAGAGGCATGACACCATTAGCGCTGATTCACGCCGGAAGAGACCGGTTTCATGGGTTGCTCGCGCTACCAACTCCATATTGAAGAAGTTAACTGAAGGTAAGAGCACCGTGCATGGCGGTCTACGTCTTATTTTCATCCACTTTAGGGAATGAAAAGGGAAAGTAGTAGGGTCCCTCAACTCAAAATACGATCTCTTTGCTGCTGCATACATCACTAGAATGTTCACCAAATTTTCTGGCTTGGCCCGTCATCAGGGTAAAAAAAACAGTTTACAGTTTTCACCCTGATGACGGGCCATGGCCGAAGATTTGGTGAACATTTTAAATGACGTATGCAGCAGGGAAAGAGACGGTATTTTGATTGTGTGAGTTGAGGTAGTCTCGTATGCAGCAGGGAAAGAGACGGTATTTTGATTGTGTGAGTTGAGGTACTCTCGTATGCAGCAGGGAAAGAGACGGTATTTTGATTGTGTGAGTTGAGGTAGTCTCGTATGCAGCAGGGAAAGAGACGGTATTTTGATTGTGTGAGTTGAGGTACTCTCGTATGCAGCAGGGAAAGAGACGGTATTTTGATTGTGTGAGTTGAGGTAGTCTCGTATGCAGCAGGGAAAGAGACGGTATTTTGATTGTGTGAGTTGAGGTAGTCTCGTATGCAGCAGGGAAAGAGACGGTATTTTGATTGTGTGAGTTGAGGTACTCTCGTATGCAGCAGGGAAAGAGACGGTATTTTGATTGTGTGAGTTGAGGTAGTCTCGTATGCAGCAGGGAAAGAGACGGTATTTTGATTGTGTGAGTTGAGGTAGTCTCGTATGCAGCAGGGAAAGAGACGGTATTTTGATTGTGTGAGTTGAGGTAGTCTCGTATGCAGCAGGGAAAGAGACGGTATTTTGATTGTGTGAGTTGAGGTAGTCTCGTATGCAGCAGGGAAAGAGACGGTATTTTGATTGTGTGAGTTGAGGTAGTCTCGTATGCAGCAGGGAAAGAGACGGTATTTTGATTGTGTGAGTTGAGGTACTCTAATGTGTAGATGACTGCAATGGAGTCTGCGAGTACTAATAGAAAGGGGAAAGTGTGTGAAAATATGATTGTCACCAAAACGACATCAGGCCTCAAACAAGGGACGTTCGCTACAGGCCAGCGGTGCTCTACCACACAGCAATGCCACCGCTAAGTTACGAGACTCATATGCTGCGGTCGCTAACCAAACACAGACCGTTTAAGGCTGTGGTCACACTGCACAAGATTTTGGCTGACCAGCTGAAACGCTCGGTGCGCATTCGGCACCATTCAGGTGACAGTCTGGTCGTACTGAATTCTCAGCGCCAGCTGAATGGCTGAAACATGTTCAAGTGTTTTCGAATATTCCAAATTGTCTGATTAATTTCACGCTGAACTAGACCTGTTTTGAGATTTCTCTCAATGCAAGCTCCTGTACAAGTTACTTTTGAAAGGACAAGGATCCAGCTGTAACCAACGGGAGCCTTGCTCTGCTGCAACGACTTTCTAGGCTTTCCTGAGCTGACGACGATCATCAAACTATTTTTTGACGTTTCGGATCTTGAGAGAACAATTTTTCAGCTTCACAACAAGTCTCACCTCCCGCTGCAGAGTTCATGCATCTGTAGATATGGTGGAGGAGACACTCTTATTGAAAAGGACGTGAAGATGGTTGTAGTAAGGTCACTGTTTCCAAACACAGTGTCTTCCACCTTGCTTCATGCTGTCAATTTAACTACTTCCAACTTGCAGCATCAGCGTCTAGAGGGAGGAAAATTCCATGTCCCTCCCCCCCCCCCACACACACTGCTCTTGGTAAATCATCATCATCTGCGTTGCCGAAAAAAATAATAGTAAAATTTAAAAAATAATAATAATAATAAACGGCATTATGCAGCTGTGTAAGCGCAGTAGATGCACAGTGTGCATTCAATTAATGGTATCATTTAAAAGGTTACTTGAGCACGTGTTTATTCACAAAGCCAATTGTATGAATCACTGAGGGTTCCTACCTCTAACTCGTCTCTACACCTTGCTCACACCTTGCCCAAGCTAATGCAAAGTAACTTCTGAACAATTGTCCTATTACTATTGGCAGAGAATACCAAGAGTGAAGCCTTGCCGCAGACAACCAAGCAGGGGAAATCTGATCGAGACATTGCTGATGATGAGAAGGATGATAAGCCCAAGGTTAGTGACTTCTATTTTTTCTACATCTGTCTCCTTTCTGGTCGTTCTTGTTCGGTAAAGGCCATTTCTGCCCCTTTTACTTTCCCCTCCCCCAATCTCTAGCTGTCTGTCTCTCTTTCTCTCCCTCTCCCTCTCCCTCTCTCTCTCTCTCTCTCTCTCCCTTTCTCTCTCCCTTTCTCTCTCCCTCTCGCTCTCTGTCTCTCTGTCTCTCTCTCTCTCTCTCTCTCTCTCTCTCTCTCTCTCTCTCTCTCTCTCTCTCTGTCTCTCTCTCTCTTTCTCTCTGTCTCTCTCTCTCTCTCTCTCCGTCTCTGTCTGTCTCTCTCTCTCTCTCCTCTCTCTCTCTCCATTTCTCTCTTGCGATCAGAGTTGTAAGGAGAGTAGGAGCATGCCTAGGCTACTCACTTCAGACTTGACTACTGTAAAGCCTTACTACACATAACGAAGTGATAATTCTAGCGAGTTAACGAGGAGAAGTCTGTCATTAAAATAGAAAATTTAATAGTTATACAGAAATTGTTACATATACTTTTGCTATTGAGCGTTGAGTATGAGTGTGAATCGTAACTCTTTGGTGCAGGTAAACAAGTTAAAATTTAGGAAATCGTTATAATATGCGCCTCGTTAGAATAATGGCTTTCACAGTAGGTGCTGCTGTGACATTCCCGGATTACACCACATTTCACTGTTACCTGTCGCATCCCTGAGCTCCGTGACCGGACCCAGAAATCACTACAAGCGGCGACCGAATAGGCGTGTGGCCTCACGACGAGCCCAACATAACCCAGGGGCCAACTAATATAGCTGGCTTGGTCCAAGTCCAACCCCACACAGTCAACAGACAAAGACTGTTAGTTTCACGTTATGAGTAGTCATTCGAATCCGACCTCTAAGTAAACCAAAACAGAGAGCTGAGACCGAGTCTCGACTCGACTGATGTAAAAGAGAGAGAGCGAGAGCTTCTTTTATAGCGCAATCTAGAGATATGGCGTGATCATTGCTTCGAAGGGTACGGGGTAATTCCAGGAAATAGGAGAACAGGTAAAACCGGAATATGCGCAGCCAGTCAGCAGGAAAGCAGAATACACGTACGGTAATCGTTCGAGAAGAGGAAGAAAGACATGGATAGAAGAAAGACCGAATTGGGACGTGGGGAGCCCGCTCACCCACGTCAGAGTACAATGTGCGTATATGAGGGTCACGTTGGGGAGCCTGCTCACCCAACGTGCCATTATTGCTCAGCGGCTTCTTATGGGCAAGTTCTGCGGTGTTCTTTGCTCTGCTTGTGTGATACCCTTGACCTGGCGCTGTGACAGTTTTTGCTCTTGCGCCCGTCTCGGCTCTGCATTCTTTGCACTTAGCTCTGTGAGTCTTGGTTCTTTGCACGAAGCGCCGAGGCATCGTGGAAACCTGTAGAACGTCATGGTGACGTGGTTTTGAACAAAGCCCGGAGTCACATTTCCAGGAAACGTACAACGCGAGAACCTACCTGACCAGGTTCCGGCCTTGGTTCACATGATGTGTCATGCCAAGAAGGCATGTCACCTACGTGGGGAAAGCGCGTGTCGCTCAACCTACATGCAAAGCACGTGGGACAAGACGCTGGCCAAACCATGTTGTAGCAAAAGGGCGCGACAGCTCAGCACAGAGCTGCTCACTACGTAGATCCTGCTGTCACAGGACTATCTGGCTGCAGTAAGTAGCAGGCCTACTTCAAGTATGAGGAGAACTGGTATGTATCTAGGAGTGGTCTGGAATGTCTTTCAGGACTTGTTTCATCAGTGTGATATTTGTATCTAGGTGTGGTCTGGAATGTCTTTCAGGACTTGTTTCATCAGTGTGTGATATTTGTAGCAATAGTTCTACCAGTATACAATTATTATTCCCGTAGCTATGCAAAAGACGTTACTTCAGTACCGTCTGGCGCTAGCCAGGGTCCACACAGCTTTAAGTTCGTGTTTGTGTGTTTGTGCCATCGGCATGTCTGGCGCTATCCCGTACCTGTCCCGTACCGTACCATCAAAGACAGCTGGCCACAATATTTAAATACCGTATTTTACCGGTTGTAAGTCGACCCCGGTTATAGGTCGACCCCCGTATCCGGAGGTCTCAATTCTGTGTTTTAAAGTTTTCACCCAAAGAAGCACTACTAACTCCCTGCTATGAACACATCAACAAATCGTGTAAACATTCCTTATTGGAGGTTATAACATCCCAATCCTTGAAAAGGCCAATAACTTGGCAAAAATGTGTACACATAGTGCACTCGTGCATGCAGTGCGAGTCATTTTTTGTAAGATACTGATAATTCCCGGTTATAAGTCGAATCCCGGTTGTATGTCGACCCCCACCCTTTCTATTTCCATTTTAAGTCGTAAAAGATCGACTTACAACCGGAAAAAATACGGTAGGGCTTTCAAATGCAAGATCATAACTTGAAGCAACTTGGAAGTATGAGTATGTATGCAAAGTGTATTGGGGAATGCATGCAGGGTGATAGTACGGGCTCGAATCCCAGGTTATGTCTTAAAAATATAGGAGAAATGAAAAATGTATAACATCCGTATGCTTCTTTTGCCTAGGTCATCAAGGTGGTAGACGGTGTCGTATTACCCTCGAATGCAAAGATATAGCCAATCAAGGCACAAAAAAAACATTTTTTCCATCAGTTCTAATAACATTCATGATGAGCTAGACAAAAAAGCATAGCGTAGGGCCCTGACTCGCGGCTTCCAAGCTCTCTTGTAGTGCTGATGTTGTATGCATGCTGTTCATGTCCCATGTCCATCATGCTCAGGCAAAGAATGTCGAGAAGAAGCTGTTGCCAGTCACTGTCAAGAAGTCACGTAAAAAAAGATGTAGAGAAAAAAGAAATAGAGAGAAATATTCCATGGTAAGTAAGCACTTGATGTTCTCACTACAACAATGTCTCTTCCTAAAATACTTCGAAGTAGAAAAACAGTTTTCTTTTCTCTCTTTTCAATTTTGTGAACGAGAACTAATGTTTGGGTCAAAATAACCTTTTACATGTGTGCGTGTGAGCGTGTGCATGCGTGTGTGTGTGTGTGCGTGTGTGGTTGTGTGTGTGTGTGTGTTACGACCAATGATTCTGTACAAACCAGATGTTCTCTTTGTGTTTTTATGTGCCGGTGTGTCTACTATTTACTAAATAGGTGGGCATCACTATGGAAATAAGCGCCGCTCGACGTGCCTTGTTCCAATGAAACAACATGGCAGGCCGCATGCTATGTTTTTGTGCTTCTGTCCCGAGGGTCACGGAGTTTTTTGTTTGTTTGCTATTTTTTGTGTTTGTCTCGAGTGTTTCGGCGTTTTTGTGTTTGATTACTTTTTTCTACTCGCTTATCTTCGTTTTTTGGGTGTGACTGGCAGTGGGGCAGGTTTAGTAGAAGGGTTTTTTGGCCGCAAGGCGAGTTTTTCCCCCAGGTCATGGCTGGAAATTTAGGGAGTCGGATTTTCAGGCACTCCCCCGCTGCCCAGTCACCCACACCGTGACATTGCTTTGCCCGTGTCTTGCACTGACATCCCTCTTGCTGGCCGCCATGCTCCTTATTACTTTCTGGCCTTGGTTTTTGCTAGCGTGTGGCTGCGAGTGTGGTGGTGTACACTGAGTACATTCTGCGAGTACATTCTCTGGTAGACCACTACCCCATGTGTGCTATGTGAGTGCTATTGTGTTTTGAGCTTCTCTCTGCTGATGACTAGTGTGTTTTGAGCTTCTCTCTGCTGATGACTAGCTGATCACTGGTGTGGGAAACTTTACTTCTGTTTACTGTTTATATGCAACATCGCGTGAATGCAGTAGCAAGCAAAAGGAAATCCAGCGTCAGAAAAGTTTATTGTTTATGCACAGCGTGTTATAGACTTGACTGAATGATCTGTTGTTTTATGTTGAGTACAGAACATGAAGTGTAAGTGCAAGTATGGCATCATCATGTGCAATGCACATTACCTGTAGTGCATGCAAGCGTACGCGGTCAAGTGCCGGAGAAGCTGCTTTCATAATCGTGCAGTCAAAACTAGGGCTTAAACGGTCACGGTTTTACCCCCAACGGTTAACTGCTAAGCTAACGGTCGGTTTAACGGTTATAACCTATAAGCCACGGCAATCCTGCGAACTCTTTTTTAACCGTATATTTGGCTATACTTATTCAAAAAATGTACCCTATTCAGTACAACGCACACATGTATTCTCTTGCATGCTCATTCATACATACTCACACGAAGAGACCAGATATGACCGAGTTGACAGCCCATAAATTGCGTACGCGTGCGACAGCCTGCGAAAGTGCATACTTTGCAACGACCTGATACTTGAAATTGACTGATAAGTTACTGCGTAACCGTTATCTTTATCGGTTAACCGTTAATTCTTCGTAACCGGTCTGCAACCGGTTAATCGGACTAACCGTTTGAGCCTTAGTCAAAACCCTTCCATTTCCCCTGTGTGTGCACATGTACCACCAGTACATCATTCTGCACCCCCCAGTGTGCAGCCCCAATACATGCACTACAAGCAAGATAATTATGTGTTCTTTGAAAATGGGTCCAGGCAACACATTTCAACGGAGCTCATGTGCCGCTGTGGTGCATGCCAGGGGTCCATACATTTGAGTAAGGTAACCTTAAAATATGCATGTAAACACCCCAGATCCGAACATCCCTATCCGGGCATGTCTGTCTACCGGCACAATTGGCATTTCAACGTAAAAAGGAAAAAATAGATAGGCATTAAAAAATGTTTGCTTACCTCCCTGAGTAAGTATACGGGCACTTCCGAGTCACAGGCAGTGCTCGGTCCAAACCTGAACGGGTTCGGGCAATTTTAGTGTACTACCAAGAGTAGATAAACAAGAGTGTGCGACTCGCGGATGGGTTGGCCCAGGGCGGAATATTTTGTTGACGCAATCTTTTCTAGAAATCACGAGTCATATCGTAAGACGCACGCGCGGGACGTTTTGCCTAGTGGACTTTACAAGATCAGTGCCCAGCACGTGCTCTCGCACTGCTCAGCGGCAAAATCCGCGTGCTCTGTACGACACACGTAAAGTTTTCTGAAAAAGGTGATGTCAACAAAAATTTCCGCCGTGGACCAGGGCGTCTTCAGTATGTGCAGAAGAGATGCGGAGTTGCAGTCCTGTTTATCCACTCTTGCTACTACTACTTGGTATGCTAGAATATTGCTATCCCATTTACTCAGGGTTTATTCTTATTAGAATTTCAATGGGCCCCATATTCCAACAGAGTTTATGCAGGCAGCAGCCCCATGCACCATACATTTGTTTTACTGAATACCACAGAACCATAAGATACTGCACAGCGGGGGCGGTGGCATATTGGATGGAAGTGGCGGCGGGGACATTTGAACACACACTAGTCTTACGGGATTATGACATACGTCAACAGAGCACTTGCATGTGAAATATAGACTGATACTGGAACAGACACATAGCCGAGGTTTGTAAGATGGTTAGTATATTCTAGTCTTACGGGATTATGACATACGTCAACAGAGCACTTGCATGTGAAATATAGACTGATACTGGAACAGACACATAGCCGAGGTTTGTAAGATGGTTAGTATATTCTAGTCTTACGGGATTATGACATACGTCAACAGAGCACTTGCATGTGAAATATAGACTGATACTGGAACAGACACATAGCCGAGGTTTGTAAGATGGTTAGTATATTTTCATGTACTGGAGTACTGCTGCTCAATGCAGTCCGATCAAGCCAACCAATGCCACGCTGGGAGCTGTGCAGATCATGAACTTAATAGGGAATGAAACATTTAAAAAAACACGACGTTCATCATCGTTCCATAACCGATAGCCCGCAGCAGAAGGAATGAGCACTGCAAATGGGAATGTTCCAGGCCAGAAGCTCATCCCTACTTCATCTCAGTACAAACACGGATTTAGAGGGAAATCTATAAGATTCCGAGAAATCAACCGCAAGTTCTCTCATATTTGACCGCAAATTCAGTCAGCAAACTCAGCCCAAGATGCACCGCAAGATTTGCAGAACTTTCCAGAGACACGGGAGGAATTTTCCGCGGCTTTTCGTGGGGACCCACCCGGGGTTTGGATGGGCGAGTATGTAGGATAATGGAGTTGGCAAATGCCTATTCGAAGAATGCAAATTACCTCATGGTAAAATCTGTTTTCATTCTTTTCGACATTCCCACAAACATTAGGCACACTCCAGTTCCTCAAAATCACCCATGGGCATACTCGCAACCTGCTGCCATACATCCGTAGTTGGTGTTCAGGGTGGCGCTGAAAGTCAGCACAAACTCATCTTCTACCTTCAATTCATTTCATGCGGGCATTTCAGACAGTTAATTGTTCGAATAGTTTATTTCGGATAATGGGCACTCTACTGTGTATTCACAAGGAAAGGTCTATGCATTCGAATAGTGTTCATGCATTTGGATGCCTCCCATATCTTTCAATGGAACCCACACATTTTGAATAGGGCCTATACATTTGGAAGGGGAGGACAGGAATCAAAATGGCAGCCAAACCTGAAATTTTGAGCATTGGTCTATCGCTGTGGGAATTGGCGGAAACATTCTTGAAACCTGCACAAGAAATTGCGGCAGAACCAAAAACGCGGCGAAAGGTGTGGAAAGATGAGAAACTTGCCAGGAATCCGCGGAATTATTTTGCATAAAATTGCGGATTTGGGCCAAATCACGAAATTTGTTGCATCCGGATATCATGTTCTAAGATTCAAACTCTTTATGCCATTTCTAAAATGACAACCATATTCATGTATTTGAATGCAGCCCATACATTTTAAACACACTCCATACATTTGAATGGAGCCCATACATTTGGGTGCAGTCCATACATTCAAATGGAGCACATACATTTGAATGGAGCCCATACATTTGAATGGAGCCCATACATTTGAATGGAGCCCATACATTTGAATGGAGCCCATACATTTCAATGGAGCCCATACATTTGAATGGAGCCCATACATTTGAATGGAGCCCATACATTTGAATGGAGCCCATACATTTGAATGGAGCCCATACATTTGAATGGAGCCCATACATTTGAATGGAGCCCATACATTTGAATGGAGCCCATACATTTGAATGGAGCCCATACATTTGAATGCAACCTATACATTTGAATGCAACCTATACATTTTGAATGGAGCCCATACATTTGGGTGCAGCCCATACATTCAAATACAGCCCATACATTTGAATGGAGCCCATACATTCAAATACAGTCCATACATTTGTATATTTGAATGGAGCCCATACATTTGAATGGAGCCCATACATTTGAATGGAGCCCATACATTTGAATGGAGCCCATACATTTGAATGGAGCCCATACATTTGAATGGAGCCCATACATTTTGAATGGAGCCCATACTTTGCAAATGGAGCCCATACATTTGGGTGCAGCTCATACATTCAAATACAGCCCATACATTTGAATGGAGCCCATACATTTGAATGGAGCCCATACATTTGAATGGAGCCCATACATTTGAATGGAGCCCATACATTTGAATGCAACCTATACATTTGAATGCAACCTATACATTTGAATGGAGCCCATACATTTGGGTGCAGCCCATACATTGTACATTCAAATACAGCCCATACATTTGAATGGAGCCCATACATTTGAATGGAGCCCATACATTTGGGTGCAGCTCATACATTCAAATACAGCCCATACATTTGAATGGAGCCCATACATTTGAATGGAGCCCATACATTTGAATGGAGCCCATACATTTGAATGCAACCTATACATTTGAATGCAACCTATACATTTGAATGGAGCCCATACATTTGGGTGCAGCCCATACATTCAAATACAGCCCATACATTTGTATAATTTGAATGGAGCCCATACATTTGAATGGAGCCCATATACATGTACATGTACATGTATTTGAATGGAGCCCATACATGTACATTTGAATGGAGCCCATACATTTTGAATGGAGCCCATACATTTTAAATGGAGCCCATACATTTGGGTGCAGCTCATACATTCAAATACAGCCCATACATTTGAATGGAGCCCATACATTTGAATGGAATCCACACATTTGGATAGGGCCCACACAAGCTGCATGCGGGCATCAAAAATGGCCGCCACACCTGACAAATTTGGGCATAGGTCTATAGCTTTTTCCCATTTTTTTTGTATTATTTATAGGATTTGTGTGATTTTGGATTTCCGTCAGTTGGTGTAAACGGTTTTAAATAAGGGAGCAGCATTTGGCCCTCTGCATATCTTTAGTCAACCACCGCACCACAACTGCGCTCTCCAGCCGACCTCGACAAGTTGCCACAGCATACCATCAGCAAGCGACACATCGGTTGATACCCGCTTTCTTCATACAGCCAATTTAGAGTATAAAACTCTAACGGTCAGCGAAGGTAGATAGTGTATACTAGACAAGGTAGTGAAAATCGCCCTTTCGGTACAGAAGGTGTAAGCATAATGCGCTGGAGGTCAGCTGGGGAGCGCAGTTGTGGTGTGGCGGTTGACGGAAGTATACAATTTCACCCCAATTATAATTTTAAATTCAAAGATTTGACGAGTGTTTCCCTCCCCATTGACAGGTGTTCCGTTCCATTTTTGGGTCAGCAATGAGACCAGGACATGCATGAGTGGCCACTTTGAAGCAACTCTGCATGCAATTAAAAATTGTGAAGGATTGTGGGCTCAACTCAATCATGATCCATGCTCATTGCTGATTCATTGACAATATTGAAATGATAAAAGGAGGGAAAGCTGCTGGCGACTCCATGACGTGGCTGGCCTTCATCGACCTTCCAAGTTGTGTCGGCGATAACCTGTACAATTGTGCTGGCTAAACACATGGGCGCATTGAGAAGAAATTTAAATATAACGTTTAATGTAAGTGCGCAGGGTGCATCTGGCTGGGAAGTATAATGTATGCCATCACTCCAACTTGCAGGAGGCAGGCAGGGGTAAAAAATGGCAGTCTGCAAACAATTCCCAAGATCGGGGGACGTTTCCGCTGCTGGATATAGGTCTTTTAAGATATGTGCACCTCCTAGAATGGGCCACTCTCTTACAACATTAATTATGCATTTCTTTCTTTCGATAACTCAATGGAGGCTTCACACTATTGAAAAGCATGAAGTCTGCAGGTGCCAATTCCCTGTGCACTCGAGCCTAATTTTCACTGGGGTCCAATTGGGGGGGGGGGGGGGGATGGCACTATCTGAAAGATTGGCAAGGAAGTATGGACTTCGGAAATTGCTAGCATTCAAGAACTTAACATGGCAATGACTGTGCTAACCGAACGTACATGGATCAAACGGGCTCAGAATATACTTTACCTTTTTGAGATCTGGGATGAAGGCAATGTCGATCCGCATCCAACCCAAACGATGCCGATATCGCCAGAGAGGCATAGCTGAGCACCAGTGGTAGTAATGTTAATGAAATCCACAGGCAAGAGACCGATGGTGCCAGCAGCAGTATTGTGACACACAGGACGCGACCAGTCTTGTGATAGCTGGTGTAGACAACATCAGCATTAGCGTGATGGGCGATATGCCCGACATTTGAGGCACAGGCGGCGGAAATGACTTGATAGTAAGGCAGCTGATCAAAGCCATAGTAAGCAGGCAGTCGCTGTCGGTGGCTGTGTTACAGCGTTGATTGTACATAGTTAGATGATACCGGTAGTAGCAAAGCGTCGGACATCAGCAGTGGTAAGGTGGCCAGCAACGGAAGTAGCGTGGTGGCCAACGTCTCTAGTAACTAGGTGGAAGGCATCGCTAGTCGTGAAGTCGCCAGCATCAGTAGTAGCGAGGTGGCCTGCATCGGTAGTAGCGAGGTGGCCGGCATCGGTAGTAACGAGGTGGCTGGCATCGGTAGTAGCGCGGTGGCCGGCATCGGTAGTAGCGATGTGGCCGGTATCGGTAGTAGCGATGTGGGCGGCATCAGTAGTAGCGAGGTGGCCGGCATCGGTGGTAGCGAAGTGGCCGGCATCGGTAGTAGCGAAGTGGACGGCATCGGTAGTAGCGAAGTGGACGGCATCGGTAGTAGCGAGATGGCCGGCATCGGTGGTAGCGAGGTAGCGGTTACCAGTTGCAGAGATCGAAATGATGGTGGCCGTGATGATCTGCCTGGGCAGGTAACTTATGAAGCAAACAGTTACTGATTAGAACAGGGCACACTATAACAAGGTCATAACAGTTTGCACACACACAAGCAATTTCTGGTAAGCACAGTAGACAAAGAGGCGGCATGGCCTGAGATGTGCTCCAGACATGCAGTTCAGCTACTAAATGCAGCGCACTAGCCACAAACAAGTTGCAAGCAGTTCAAGCATTCACCGGCTACAGACAGGGGCATCAAACTGGTGCGTATGTCGCGAACACAAAGGGATAAAGAATGACTGTGCAGCAACAAACAGCTGGAAAATGACTGCAATTGGCATTGATTGCTCCATTTCAGAATTCATCCATTTTGTATTAGCCACACATTCACCGACCCAACACACCTGCCAGTAGCAAGCAACTGCGTGTAAACCCTGCCCTTCATCAGGAACCGTAGTATCCCATGTACATGTGCAACTGAGTAACATATCCAAAGCATATACTCTGATCATGTCCCCTTTACCTACTCTGAAAGTCAGGAATAGGAAATTGCAGCATACAAGAAACCAGATTGTATAACGTACCAGGTAGTTGGCTTATACTTAGCCATGTTGTGGTGAATCTCGGTCCTTTGGTCTGGCATATCTAGCTGACCGGAAAAAATTGAAAACATTACACAATCTATTAGAAACATACACCCATGTGACAGTGGCCATCGACGGCTATTGTCACGTGGGGAACTAGCAAGCCAAAACAGCAGAATGCATACCCTACCATTGACTACATACGTACCACGCATTCATACGTTACCAGGGTGACGGGCGTTAGCGAGGCTGCCGTGGTGTCCGTAGAGTGCTTGACCCTACCTGAGTGAGTGGGAATGAATGAGCATGACACAATTGATTAGTTACATACACCCACACAACATCAGCTTGTGACAGCCACTGTTGTATGGGGATAGTACAAGTAACGGACACGATTACTAAACAACATGGTGTTGTACAATACACCAGGCATGCAATACAAAACAACATATTTACCAATGGTAGGCCTGATGACTTGACGCCGCAGCGATGGTCGGCCGTAGCGCTGGTTGGATGTAGAAGAGATGACCTACAGGGCTCTTACCTTGCCCTGATCTATGCCTAACTAAGAGTATGAGTATACTAGAATTTTGAGTGAGAAAAAAATTGATAGAATATGAATATTTCATGGTATGAAGGTCAAATATTGTTCAGTGTTTATTGTGGTTGATCGCCCGCTTGGCTCCAGCCGCCAGTTGCCGCCACTGCTTGACTGTTGCACTAATCGGCCGAGTGTGTGCCGCTCCACCTCGCTCTCCGCCGGCCGCATTGTGTAGTACGAGTTCTCGTACTCGCTGAGTGTGTAGTAGTGTGCTGGTCCCTGAGATGTGTGTGTGGGAACATACATGCAGGTGTGGAAATAGTAAGATTGATATGACTGTAGAATACTATTACATGCAGCGGTACACTTCAGTTCCACCACCAACAAATAAATCTATGATACATTCTGCCAAACATGACTTGGGATCATGCAAGAAAGACAACACACTGAGTGCTATCAGGATAAGGAATGTGATACTACAGATCATATAGGCCATGGGTTGTGATGTCATAATATACAATAGACTAATACCTCGGATTCATGAGATCCACTGATCAATAGCAGACATTGCCTTTCGTGAGTGTTGTCGCTTTTTGGGGTACCAATTTAGTTGGCATTCATCTTTAAAGTAGAGCAGGAAATTTGAATGTTTTCGATTTGCATGTGTTCATCACCAAATTGCAGAATACTTTCCCTTGCGACCCCATTTTGAGGTAAAGTTTCTTCGCGACTCGCAAGCAGTCATGGAGTCGCCAGCAAGCTTGCCCCTCCCCTCCCCACCCTGCTTAAATCCTTCCCCGAGACCCGGGGGGAATGGAACGGAACACCTGTCATTTTGTGGCAGCTACATAGCAACAAGGAAATCTTGCTGCAATGAAGTGCCCCCTCCCAATTTTTTCCATGAATAAAATAAATCATAAAGTGAAGCATAACAGCTGGGTGGCCGATGATGAGCCTGGAACAAAAATGTACAAAAGAGAGACAAACCATATTCGTGATATCATGGGAAGTTTACAGCAAGTAATCTAAAAAGAATTCCTAAAAAGGCACCATCACCATAGTGATTGTGATCCCCAATCACAATAATTGCTCAGCTTTGTAGCTGCAATCCTCCCTGTGACTTCTTTCATTGATAGAAACAATCGAAGCAACTGCATTGTATGACTCAGGCAGCTCATTTTGCATCGGGAGGACGATGAAGTCAAGACTAGGAAGTATGGTTTTTCTTGCTGATATGATCCGAAGAGCAGAGTTGCGCGTTCAGAACCTAGTATTTTGAAAGGGTAAGCCTTGGGATTTACAGTCTAAGTTTGGCCCAAATTGAGATTTCCAAGCTCCAACAGTGAATATTTACCGAGCGGACTGTCAAGTACACAATGGCCCATAGTTGAGAATTTTGAAGGAGCCCAAATGGATACTTATCACGACACCGCAACAGATCATGTTTCCCAGTCTCCGCAGGTTGTCCATGGCAAACTCAACTGGGCACACACAAGAAACAGTGACACAGAGCAGGATCCTAATGGGAAACTATTCGACACGTTGCTCACCAGTCACAAACAGGGGAAATAACCTGTTGTTGGTTGATAGCATGTTACGAGATGGAGGACGCACTGTGTTCGGAAACAGTGATCCTTACTACAACGTTCATGGTTGGCAGAGCCCTGGTCTTGTGACCATTTGAAGCATATGGGTGTTGGCCCTGGTTTTGATCCTCAATATACAAAGCAGTTGTTTGAGTCTTTTTGTTTTTCGTCATCGTACTGTCAGTTGTGTATTACTCGCTCGTTCTTGGATGTCAGTCCTTCTTATAAGCCACACCCATATTTTTTGTCATGAAATGCCGGCATCTACCCTGTATTTGGTGAATACGCCGCATCCCTCATTGGCTGCATGAACGGTTCTTTCATTGCTGACAGCTACGGTTCTTTTTTCGGCAACTGTGAACCATGGATTTTATCAATGCCGAATTTACGGCCAGCAGGTCAATTTCCTACTTCCCCGGCATCTTCCATGACTCTTAGTTGAAGTGAGTCTAATATCTGCCATTTTGACAGTGCGGCACACACGTTGAAGCATTTTTTTGCCCATTACATGACCTACCGCACACTACGTATGGTTCATTTGATCATCGCAGTATAGGCCACATCTACTTGCTTCCAGTTAGTTAAGAGTGTGTAAAGTGTGCCTTCTACTTCCAAACATACTGGTATCTAAAACAGTGTTTGATCCCTTCATTGTAGGCCACACAACATCAGGAACATCAAACTTGGAACTGTTCACAACATCATTTCCACAGGAAAGGCTTTGTGATGTTGGGGATGAGTGCAAGAATGCCTATGAAGCGGTATTACCCTGGTCAAGGTACATTAAGACAGTTATCGTCAAAACTCACCAATGTCTGTAGGAGGATTGACATGCACAGTGGAAGTTATGAGCACAAAATGCTGTGCAGCCACAACCACAACCCCTACCACCAACACACAATGGGTCATGCATACAGATATGGATCTAGATGCTGGCGATACGTGGCAAACGTTCTACAAGGATTCGATACGGAAATGGAAAACAAGAATTGAATGGTGCTGTCACTAGTCGTATCCAATCTGCGTTTATATATCAAATGCGCTCGGGATATTGGATCTGGATGTCACACAGAAACCTTCATACTGCCCGTTATTGCTTTGAATCAACTGGTTAGCAGTTTAGCAGGCTGTTAGTTTTCACAAAAGAATAATAAAGAAGAAATCATAAACTCATGTTGGGCAGCATGAAACCTCTGTGGAAATCATCCAATATCCACCAGCTTGGTCAGTCGTGTCTTTGAAATTCACTAATAAACAGGGCTCGGAAGTACGAACGTTTTACAGTGGCGTCATTTCGAAGTACGCCCTATCGCCAGCATCCGAATATCTACATCGGGCAAATGGCCCCATAAACTGAGCCTATTGACAGCATAGCTTTGCTGATCATACAACCAAAGTGATTATGGCGATTGCATAGTGCTTGTAAGCACCAGAACGTTTAACAAGCATAGCCAGCAATCGCATGTCATCACGTACATTGAGAATCAACATAATTTTGCGAATCGACCTTTTTTTCAGGATCACTTTTCAACGAGGACGAAGCAAAGTCGGCCGAACGAAGCCTAGAGGAAGAAAATCACCCTCTCCACTTCACCATCACGATACTGACATAGATACGAGACGAAACTAAAAAATCCACAAGAAAACTGTACGGCCATCATCGGTCTTTGGTCTGACTTTGGTCTGAGAATTTCTATCACGATCAAAAATGTACGAGGAGCACTCAAAAATAAGCCACAGACGTACCTTTATCGCTCTCTACTCCTTTTTCAAGGCACAAAAGTCGACTCTCCACTTTCAAACCAGGAACCAGACATACCAGTGGTCCTTTTCAGCTGCTCCACGAGCGCAGGAAATGTTCACCAAGGGGCGCAGAGCAGCATCCATTCCAGAAAAAGAGCTAAAATACGAGTGAGACTGCATGACTGAGTACATGAGTACATGTATGAGTACATGCAGAAAATAGTCAATTTCAGCGTTTCTGCTCCAAACAGCAACTAGCTTCGACTAGAAACAAAGATTACACCAAAGGATCAAACAACAACCATTTTCTGCAGTTTTTTTGCAGATGGCTTCCTTGTGCTTGGCCCAGCACGCCAAAAATCACACTTCGGAGGAGTACAAAAATTACAACTCTCAGATGTCCTCGATTGCTGGCCATGGCCTGAATGTAAGCCCATGTCGATCTGTATCACAGTCAAGCAAAGCGTCCCTTCAACGATAAGTGCCTTCCAGAACATATAGTACCGTGTCGCTGTTAGCGACCACAACACATGAAAGGTCCACACGTGTGCACATACAACACCGTTCTACTCACAGGAATGCTCACTCATATAATATCCACCAGATCACCAAGAGCACAAGGTATTTTACCTTTTGCTTTGGAAGCAATGCGATGCACAACTTCATCCCGTAGCAGTTTTGATGGATGCACTCAGCTTCTTGTATTCCAGTCGTCCTCGCGTCACTATGTAATCCAGCGTGGAGTCTAGGACTCGCGGAAGATGATAAACTACCTGCAGAGAAAAAACGACAAAATAAGAGAAGAAATGAGAGACTTGAATCGTTCTGAATTTTAGGAAGTGTAAAGTATCTTGTCGTGGCAGTCGACAAAAACAGATGGGGCGCTACATTCTACAACACCACAGGAAGGAAATCCAGTGCCGATAGGTGGACGCCTTGCCCTGCAAAGTGCTACTCGTCGCTGAGAAAATGCTAATGAAGAAATGGTGTACAATAATGATTACAAAGAACTTCTGGAGTGATGCTCTTGACATGGCTAAATACATGTAGGTGCAAGCCATTATAGCAAGTTGAGAATTTTACGACTGTTGAGACACTGCAAGTCACACACAGAGCAAAGTCCCTATGTCAACAAGACGACAAATGAACGATATGCCGTTCATTGCTGCTAAATGGAATCCGATCAAGTGAATCAACTTTGTGCCCGGCAAGGCATTGAATATTCCAGTATTCAGAGGTCTAGGGCTGCATAGGGCCCGGCAAGGCATTGAATCGCTTGATCGGATTTCATTGAGCAGCACTATACATTGAAGCATGCTTACAGTTTTCTTGCTGGGCAACACTCCCTCGGAACGCACACACGTATAGATCGACTGAGAACGGCAGCAATGTCTCCATTCGCCTTGGAGGAATGACAAGGGAAACAAAACAGGAAGGGCATGAGTTAGGTACAGCGGCAAAGGAGCAGTAGAACAAACCTATAATGCATGTGACTTCACAGTTGTGACCCAAGTCAAAGGAGAACATGGGGTGACAGTTTGGCTTTTCTATTTGCAGCGGGTATTTCTTTTTTTCATTGGACATAATACTGTTGAAACCTAAATGCTGTGTTCACAACTGGCATGTTGTCGTGCAAGCACGCGTTTGTGCGTATTTTTGCTGGTTTTATTGGGGCGTCATGTGCACGGAAACGCACCGAAATGGAAATTCCAACATGTTGGAATTTTCAGCTCGTATTAGGCGCGTACCAGCGTACATGCCAGTCACTTGACTGGCGGGGTCAAAATAAATTAGTACTCGAAGGTGTCGCATGCGCTAAATACGACTCGGATTGCTGTTTTTTGTGAAAGCCTGAGCGCGCGTTTGGGCACGCATGAACCGCAAGCCGCGTCCACGCGCCAGTTGAGAACATAGCCCGCATATGCTTTTTCAGTCATTTCACTTTCATCTCCTGGAGCATCGCTATCATGAAGTTTCATTTTACTTGTCTCCACTCCCATGCGGGGATTTCCCTCCTGAATTTCAGTGATTTGGTGGCAAAAGAAGGTTGACAATCAACACAGCTGAGGATGCATTAATGTTACCTTTGGGTTGCGAGCAATGCTCGTTGTGCTGTTCCATGACAATCGCCATATGCAACTGGTGGTGGTGGTCAGGCAGCAGGATGATCAGGTAGCTGGCGGAATGGGCAATGCTAAGCAGACTAGAGCTATGCATACAGCCGCCACGGTACCGGTCTTGTGCGTCTGTAGCGATTCCACTGGTCGGCAAACAAACGGTCAGCTATCAGTTCGGTTGCAGCGGATAACGTGCTGGACAACCTGTATGTAGGAAAAGAATGAAAATGGCAAGAGTTTGGTGAAGGTGTCACATAACAATGAAAGAAGCAGGAGTCAATAGAACCATGGAAAGGAATCATGGCAATGTAAGAAATATGGTCTTCACCCGGATTCCTGGCAATACAATGAGACTTCAATGGCATAAGCATGAAATGCCATGATCAAAAGAAGTTTCTACTTTGAAATCATAGCCCAAACCGAATGCCGATGGTTTACCTGCAATATAGAGCTTGATAACGGTAGAGTTCCGGGATAAAAAGTTCCCATGCCACAGGCAAGGTGTTGAGTGCTGTAGCGACCTAGCAGACACACCCAGGCAATGCTCAGAGCAGCGGAATGGAATGCCGTCCAGTTGACGACGCTTGAGAAGTCGATTTGAATGCTCCTGGCCATCCATCCGTCTAGTGAAATGCTCCCGGCAATCCATCAGCACATTGCTCACCAGTCACAAAGGCACATACCGAAGAAACAGCCTCCATCATAATTATCATAAAGTGAGAGGACAGGCATAGTTACATTGCATATCATAGAAGAGTGAGAAGGGGGAGGGGGGGGGGAGGGGATGTTTTAGATCAGTTCGTTCTGTAGCTAGTGACGCCAGGAGAATTGGTCAATCCGCTAATACTCTACTGAACATTATGTCGACAACAACTTGGGAAGTGATCGCGCTACCATCTGAAACAAAGTTTGATTCCCACCATCATAGGGCACACAGTAGGCAGCAATCAAGATCATTGTCGGTTCCCAAAATCATCTTAGCACGTAAAGCCCTGGGTAGGTATGAGTGCAAGTGAAGGAATGCCTGTGAAGCGCTCTTACAGCAACCTGGGAACATAAACTTATGGTCGAATCTCACCAAAGTCAATAAGACGATTGACACATACATGGGACGTTAGGAGCACAAAATGGTCGTCCCACCGCCACCACAAACAGACCATCAAGGGGTTACACATACATTTGCAGTTGACTCCACTCATAACGAATGTGAATAATATACTGATTTCCATGGTAATAGCGAACGATTGTCTATGTCCCTGTTTGAGCCCATACTAAATTGACCCTTTCTAGCGACCAGATTCAGTTCATAATGAACCATAGGTTGTAGGGCTGCATGCAAACTAGGTTCACCAATACAGTAACAGCCCACATAACAGTCAACTGCATGTACATAGATGCTGGCGATAAATGGCAACTGTTCTGCGATGGTTCGATATGGAAATCCAAAACATGAGTTGAATGGTGCTGTCGCTAGTCACATCATGTCTGCATTTATGGAAATTGCAAACATATACGAAATGCGCTCGGGATATTGGATGTGGATGTCACACCGAAACCTTCATACTGCCCGTTATTGCTTTGAATCAACTGGTTAGCAGTTTAGCAGGCTGTTAGTTTTCACAAAAGAATAATAAAGAAGAAATCATAAACTCATATCGGGCAGCACGAGACCTCTGTGCAAATCATCCAATATCCATCAGCTTGGTCAGCCGTCTCTTTGAAATTCACTAATAAACAGGGTTCGGAAGTACGAACGTTTTACAGTGGCGTCATTTCGAAGTACATGTACACCCTATCGCCAGCATCCGAATATCTACATCGGGCAAAGAGCCCCATGAACTGAGCCTATTGACAGCAAGGCTTTGCTGATCATACAACCAAAGTGATTATGGCAATTGTATAGTGCTGGTGAGCACAAGAAGAACGTTCCACAAGGCCTGAATGTAAACCCGTCTCTATCTGTATTACAGTCAAGCAACGCTTCCTTCCAAAGTCAAAGATGAACTCCTTCCAACACTGTTACACATACTGTACCAAATTGTTGTTAGCGACCACAACACATGTAGGGCGACACGCGTGGACATACAACACTGTCTGAGTCACAGGAAGGTGCACTCACCTAACATTAACAACCACCAGGCCACAAAAAGCACACTTCTTCTTACCTTTTTCTTCGGGAGCAATGCAACTCCATTCCGTAGCAATTCTGACGGATGCAGTCCGTTGCGTGTATTCCTGTCGTCCTCGCGTCAATAGTCAGCCAGTGTAGAGTCCAGGTGTCTCGAACGATGATAAACTACCTGCATTGAAAAAGGACAAAGAAGAAATGAGTGACCTGAAACGTTCTGAATTTTAGGAAACGCGAAATACCTTGTCGTAGTATCCGCCGCAAACAATGGAGAGAGTAAACATTCTTTAACACTACAACGAGGAAGTGCAGTGCCGACAGACGGGTACCGCACTCTCCAAACATAGCAGATTATACACACTTTGCCAGAAGCTGAGTGCTTGCCATAGATCCAGACATTTAACAATAATTTCAATGCGCACTGCAAAGCGTCGTTGACGAAATGTTCATCAAGAATAGGCTTGATGACAAAGAGTTGTTGGAGTCATGGTCTTGGCACGGCTCAATAGGTGCTAGCCGAAAAAGTGCTAGGTGCTAGTCGAAATAGCGAGTGAAGAATTTAGTCACAGTTCAGGCACTACAAGCCACAAAGCGCAACGGGCCTATGTCCACAAGACGACAAATAAACTTCACTACGCACGACGAACTACATTGAAGTACTACTCCTAACGACCGAACATGAACACGTGCTTACATCGACTTCTTGCTGGGCAACCCTCTCCCACGGAACGCACGCATGCGCAGATCAAATGTGAATGGCAGCGGCTCCTCCATTCGCCTTGCAGGAAAGACAAGAACAAAACAAGAAGGGTATGACAGTTAGGTACATGGGTGATGAAGCAGCCGAGAAACAATGTGGATACTGCTGGCGTGGGGTTGGAGGAGAACAGGCGCTGCCTTGGCCCATTACAAACAAATGAAGTCTTGCAACTCGGAAAGGAAAGACTCAGAAATTCTTGCTAAAGCCATGACAAACAAAGCCAAACACTTACCGACACTGAAGTCTGCGGTCTAATCTTCTCACGGACCCGCTGCTATTTAGCGCAACTCTGTCATTACCTCGCATACAGTACACGGTTTTGTCAACATTATCCAAGATGGACAGTTTTTCGTCCAGTCGCTATCCATTGCGGGGCACCCGTGACTCCATTAGCGAGCGGTTTGGGGTCTGGTCGGACCGTCCGCCGATATGAGCGTCTACTTGAGTGGGCATCGTATACACCAACACAACTCACAACTCAGCTTATCTCAAGTACACAATTTGGTGCGAGAGCACATCACCTCTAACAGCTAGCCATGAAGAGGAAACTGGGAGAGAGAACTGAAACGCAAACCATTTCCGACGAGAACAACAACGGGAAGGAAAGTGTGCCGTTAGGGCGCTTGGATGAAATTCCGCAGCTGCGAGAAGCTCGTAGGAGCAGAAGGATGTGCACGGGGTCATAAGGTCATGGGGTCAGGCTCAAGAAGACTGAATTGCACGTGACGAGTATATAATTTACGTCTAGACCAGGGAGTCTAGGCGTCTAGACGTCTCCGACAACGGTCATCGGTCCATTATATTTGTTCATCGGCCTAGTATAAAGTGAGCAGGCATTGCCATTAGTCAAACATATCGCACCGGTGCACCTCGTGTGACTTGAGTCTGCCACGTGAAGTAAAAGCACGGCATGTGGCAGACGTCTCTAGGTAGGCCCCCGTGTAATGTGCCGGCATTTTTTTGAGCATTTTCGGTACAATCCGCGAACCCAGCACTTTGGGCTCGTGATGCAGCATTTTGGGGGAAACGGAGTACTTGGCCGTTGTGTATCAAAAATAATTGAGAGAAGAAAAACTTCCCAAACAAGAACGTCGCTTCCGCATTCCGTGGGTTAGCTTCTTGTTGAGTAGTTTATGTTTACCATGGCAGACTCGAGCAAGTCTCTTATTGAGTGTGTTTCGGATGACAGTGATGAAGATGAAGATACTGTAGAGAGCGATTCTTGCAAAAAAGTGAGCATTTTCGGCAAGGTTTGGGAGCATTTTCGGCATGGTTTACGAGAATTTCCCAAAAGCATTTTCGGCAAAGTTTCGGGCACACCGGGCCCTATCTCTAGACGTACAGACGGGACCGTCGACCCAGGCCAAGTCACACGAGTTGCGATTTGTTCCGGTATTGCCCCATTCACTTGTACTTTTGTGTAGGACGACTTTCCGGCTGATGGGAGTGATGCTCTGACACTACTTTGTGTAGTCAGGTTTTGCATTCCCGGGCAAGAGATTCGGCACGCGAGAGCGAGGTCGAATATGCACTCGAGGATTCGGCATGTTTGTTCGGAAAAAGCCCACCCTGCCGATAGTATTTTTCGGAAGAATTGCCTTGTAGACGAGCAGACGTGCTAGCGTCCTTTATTCAAAAAGGTTTCTTAACTCGTCATGACTTCTCTGGCGTCTTCGTCGACATCAGCATCGCCAGCTACCTCTGATTGCTCCTTTCCATTAATGCATTATCTCTCCACTCCTTTCGCCTGGAGTCCGACACACAGTGTGCTCACCATCATCTGTGGGCGGGAAAGATACATGTATGGCGATATGCATAAAAGCATACTGGCCATGGATATGGTTCTTATTCGGCAACTGAGAAGTGGGACAAATCCATTTCCTGCGTGCGTCTCCGGGAAATGAGGAGGCAGCTCTGGCCCTCGAGTATTTTTCTTTGAAAAGGTTTGCTGGAATCAGCAAAAAAGAAGCCCGGGACATGTTCGACTTGCAAAAATGGTTTTCGTTCGAAAATTCGACTTGTGATGTTCGACAAATGACCATCGAACGACAAAAATTAATTATGACCATCTAACGCGGAACCGAACACCTCTAGTACTCCGACATGAAATCGCCCGCTTGTGTAGTACTGTGCCTGTTCAGACATAACCATGATAACGGCGAGGCGCTTGTCGGCCTTTCTGCAGATCTACCTAGTCCTTGTGTAAGCACGAGCACTTGGTAGATCGACACAGCCGCGCAAGGCTACCACAGTGCACAGCAGATACTACAGTCTGTAGACTGTCTGTAGTGTAGTCTACAGTAAGTGGACTAGACGCTCGAGCGGAAATGAGATCTTTTTGCACTACACGAGCTACCAAGAGACGGACAAAACAAACGTCTAGTAGACTGTATATGTAAGTACAAATTTTCGTTTGGACGCTATATTCGTTAGGGAGCATGAACCCCCCAACTAAAGTTTTTTTTCTGAACGTTCGGGTGACAGACCTCGACCAAAAACGAAATTTAGTACGTAACGAGCCTGCTGCCGGCCGGCGGAGTGATCTAACGAAAGATTTCGCGAACGAAAATTTGTACTTGCACAGTATTTCGTACTAGTAGTCTAGTGTAGTGTGAAGCAGGCATAAGATCAACACAATCATTGTGCTTGGATCATTCTACCATAAAATAGCTTGCAAGACTGAATAAATGACCAGAAGCCTTTCGCCTGGTCTCCACCACACAGTGTTCGGCCCCTCCCCCCTCCCCACACACACACAAATACAGTTAAAACTTGTCAAGGAGACCACCCGGATGAGGCGGCCACTTGTTCAAGAAGACCATTGCAACCATAACCAATGATGCTCCAGTCCTATGATCCTGGAGAACGAGACCACACTTTGAAGGTCCCTTGAGTGGTCTTCTTAGACAGGTTGAACTGTACACACACACACCTTGACCTTGACATACAGCTGCCGTTAAACGGCTAAGCTGCCCTCATGAGGAGGGGAACAAAGGGGTAGCATCACGGCGTCGCGGCAGAACATCCGGCTTTATGCCGCTGCAGATCCTGCTGTCTGCGATATCTCTTGCCGCACGCACAGCAGAAAAAAGCGCGCGCGCGCACACACACACACACACACACACACACACACAGCATTACCAAGGTAACACCCAGTCATCCGTGTTCGGTGGCACCTAGCTCTATTGCGGCACTGTGAGAATTTCGAATATGGAGAGAAAGTTCCACCGCCACAGGACTTCACTTGTGGATAGATGCCACACTTTTTCAGTGATTGACAAGAGAGCAAGTGATCCAAGCAAGGAGAGGTGCAGTGGTAGAAATAATGAATGAAACAATGGAATAACTGCAAGCAGGCAAGCAAGCAGTCACCGATCCCAGGACTTTAAGAGAGCTTGTGATTATCTCTCAGTAACATAAAAATAAAACTCAATGTAAAATCACAATCAAGAAACTGGATCCTGTGATGGTCACAGTGTGCAATGCGCTTATGGTACAATACAGACTTATCGCCTGAATGCCACTTGATCACGCTTCACAAGAAAGTGATTTCGGACAATGTCATGCACTACAGAGACTCAGAATTAAAAATACAAAAAGCGTATCGTCATCAGCAAGCCCAGGGCTGTTGGAGGCATATTCAAGCATCATGTGCGCACACTACTAGTAGCTTGCACATGTACAGTGCTCCTAACATTTTGAGAGAAAGAGAGAGTGTGTGAGAAAGAGAGGGTGAGAGAAAGAGAGTGATTGAGAGAGGGGGGGGGGAGAGAGAGAGAGAGAGAGAGAGAGAGAGAGAGAGAGAGAGAGAGAGAGAGAGAGAGAGAGAGAGAGAGAGAGAGAGAGGGGGGGGTGAGAGAAAGAGAATGAGAGTGAGTGAGAGAGAGAAAGAGCGAGAGGGTGAGAGAAAGAGAAGGAGAGAGTTGATAAAGTAGCAATATGCAATTCACAGTTAGCCCTCCACCACTATTACCACCACACGCTTTGGTATGGAGAGCCCGCTTCAAGCTCAACGAAGCCCTGGTCATCTGCAGGTAGTGTGTGCAAGTAGACAGCCTCAAGGATGGATGGTTGCATGATGGAAATGCTCAGGTATAGTGAAGACAGTGATCATGACACACACCATGGCTATGTGTATGCATATACCACTCATAACCTACTTGCAATGACACGCAACATGGCGTGAACAAGGCATGAGACACCCCCGGTCTTACCCTGACCTAACTTTTAACACTGGAGAGGAGTAAATTGGCACCACAGCAGCGGCTATGTTCGCACTACCGTCTTTCTGGCTCTCGCAAACATTACTGGAATTGCAGCCCGATGAATGCTCCGAACTTCTTGACGAGTGTTCATCTCTGCTGCTTGATCCTGGCGATGTGATATTGTGCTGTGATGACTGGACGGATAGGGAGAAATCCAGTGATTGGTGCTGCTCTTCTGTTCCAGCGTCGATATTCAGTACATCATCAATGTGTGCATAGAGATCATGGAGCAAAGCTGCTTGTGGTGGAGCCGTGCTGCTGGGTTCACCTGGGAGAGAGCACTTTCGTCTCTTGCTGCTGCTGTTGCGTGAGGATATGATCGTTTCAAATGGCACCTTATAGTCACTTTCATCCTGTGAGTCAGTGGCTGTGAGGACAGCGTGCGCTTTAGGTGTCTCTGCCGCAGTCTGTGGCTTCGTCAATGCAGAGCTGTGACTGACTGGTGGCAAAGCTGTGGCTAAGGTACTGTCGGATGCTACTATGGGTTGGCTGTAGTCACTCGCCATCACACCGACTTCAGCTTGCCATGCATTACTGGTTGCTGTGTCTTGCACGTCACCGGCTGAGTTCTCATGGCCATTGCAGCCACTCTGCACGGGAATGGCGAATGTCGTGGTACGGTTGGGTTTAGGGGAGAGCTTGGACCGGATTGAATGTGTTGATTTGCACGCACTATCAGTCGAGTCATTGCCGGATCTTGACTTGAACCAGTTCAGCAGTAGCAGTGTGGAGCAAACTCCAGTTGCCAAGCTGAACACTATCACAAGGCCTATAAGAGCAATCATCAAGCTTTTGGATGCCAGTGCGCCAACATACACCACCTTTGTCGTGTCACTACCACCATTCTGTTGTAAGTCGCTGCCATCTCCCGTTCCTAAATCACTTCCTGCATCATCCAAAGTCGGTTGAAGTGTTGATGAGATTCGAACATGTAGGGAAGTCGATGTTGGCATCTGGTGTGTGTCAGGTGATTCGGACTTCGGTAGAGGTGATGACTGGCGGCCTGGCCGTGGAACTGCCTGTGTGCGCGTCGCATCGCATGGCAGCTGAGCAGAACATGGTGGCGGTGTGTTAGCAGCGGCTGTACTGGTTGGCATTGGATATGCGGCTTGCGAGGCCAATTTAGTGACAGGATAACTTTTCTGCTGTTTTTCCTCTTGCCGGGATGGTGTAAAAGCTGTAGGAGAACAATGCACAGAATACAAACAGGAGAGAAAGAATGAACAATGCATCATCTTGCACCAGGATCCATGCGATCAGTCCCTCTGTCAGTGTACAATGCGTAATACAACTGGTACTGCGGCGAGCAGAGTGTGCGATTTGCACTAAGAGAGAGAGAGAGAGAGAGAGAGAGAGAGAGAGAGAGAGAGAGTGTGTGTGTGTTTGTGTGTGTCTGTGTGTGCGTGCGAGTGTGTGTGTGCGTGTGTGTGTGTGTGTGTGTGTGTGTGTGTGTATGTGTGTGTGTGTGTGTGTGTGTGTGTGTGTGTGTGTGTGTGTGTGTGTGTGTGTGTGTGTGTGTGTGTGTGTGTGTGTGTGTGTGTGTGTGTGTGTGTGTGTGTGTGTGTGTGTGTGTGTGTGTGTGTGTGGAATGTAGGATTAGCACACTGAGAGGTTTAGGGATGAAATGAACTTCCATTTTTAACCTGCTTTTAATAAATGGATATTGCTCTATTTTATTCACCAGAATAAACATGTACATGCCATTCCTGCCTTTAGTACAGCCATACTCTTTAGCACAGCCATACTCTTTAGTACAGCCGTACTCTCAAAGAGTGTGTGTGGTAGTGGTGGGGGGATGCTGAAGAACATCAAAACATGGTCTTTTTCGATAGGTGCTATATGTTCAGGCTTTTGCAACATAGCCGTGGCATAATTGAAACACACCACGGGGGTTGCAATGTATTATTATTATTATTATACGCACGTCCGCGTCTACGTCAACAGTAAGTCCACGTATTCGCAGAAGACAGGCAGATCAGAGTGGGCAGAGAGGAAAATAAAAAATAAATGTAACGACAGCAGGCGATAGGCACATAACTCATGTTCGATGATAGGTGCTCAATGCACGGGATCTATTCGAAAGATCAAAAAATAAAACAAGAATAACAGACAACGGCGATAGGTTTGTAACTCATGTTCGATGGTAAGTGCTAAATGCACGGGATCTGTACAATGCCTGTCCCATCCGTTATTTACTGCGTACATCCTGGTACAGCTCGCGCCACGCAGGCCTGTCCGCGGCGATGGCCCGCAGGTGCTCCAGGTCTGCCATGTTCCTCAGACTCCTCAGTCCTGCTGATTCTAGGTCCGCCGATAGTGTGGTTGCAATGTGCACTAGCCATTTTTCACTCTGCTTCATCATGCAGACCCACTTTGATCATATTTTCCGGTTAAGTTCCAGAGACACTCAACAACACTGATTGCATGCCCTACGTGTTAATAAGCTGCAGTGCTGGAGGCATAGACGTGAGATGTTCAAGAATGCAAGTCACCGAGCACGCTCCAATAGGCATCTATAAAGTGGATGGCGCGATAATGACAGCATGATACATAGGGGTGGATCCACTGCAAGGCTAATTGCTATAAACTACAATCAGAGACTGGTCTGCAGCACCACATGAACTGCAAAGACAGTATTCCTGCTTCAGACATTTTCATGGCCAGAGGAACGCCTTGGGGTGGAGTTGATGACGAAACACTATCCAAACCTACTTTCTATTCATTTCGTCTCTTAGCCGGACAACGCTCAATGCTACACGCACTAGGCAATCACCAGTCAACTGTTTGGATGATGATCATTGTCTGAACTACTGTTTTCTGATGATCAGACAACAGTAGTAGTTCAGACAATGATCACCAGACAACAGTTGTGTGCTGACCATTGTCTGATGATCGCCTTGTGTGCGAAACTCGGAGTAACAACACATATTTATCATCTTCTTCTTGTTGGAACTAGCTCTGCCCTTCAACATTGAGCACTCTACTGGACAGCTTGTAACCTCTCTGCTTTGAAATGCTCAATGTCACTCAAATAAAGAGTGATCATGTATCGGCTTACTTGCATGTCGAGTGCTGGTGTGAAATGTAGACGGCTGATCAGTGGTTTTGCTGATGACAGTACTATTGGTCTGTGTTGCTCCGTCTGGGCATTAAAGACATAAGGTAGAAGGCATAGTTGTCTCAGATCATCAGGCTGTGCATAGTGCTCTATGTCCTGTGGACAGAGCCAGCACAATCCTCACTGCCTGATGGGTGTTTTTTTAACGTGAAACTCTGAGTAACGGCAGATACAGACTTGGTTGTGTCATTGCTGTGTGAGTATTGTAAGGTAGAAAGCAGGTGTTAGAATTGTAGACTACGGATAGCTGATATGATGTGTCAGGTAACGCAGCTGCTAGCAATGTGTCCGCATCTGACACAACTATTGATAGCTAGTCTACAATGCGTAATTCAAGGACATGCGAGTAGAAATGCACGCACCAGCATCCATCCTTTGCAAAATCTGAATTTAAATGCCTGGACAAACCTTTTTTTGGGGACCTAAACAGACTCAGATTGTGTTTTTTCAAAAAAACAAATACCTTTCTCAAATTTGATGTCATCTGCACGTACGTGTACAGTCAACTTGGCTAATAACGACTGCGGATATAACGACTGCGGATATAACGACTGCGGATATAACGACTGCGGATATAACGACTGCGGATATAACGACTGCGGATATAACGACTGCGGATATAACGACTGCGGATATAACGACTGCGGATATAACGACTGCGGATATAACGACTGCGGATATAACGACTGCGGATATAACGACTGCGGATATAACGACTGCGGATATAACGACTGCGGATATAACGACTGCGGATATAACGACTGCGGATATAACGACTGCGGATATAACGACTGCGGATATAACGACTGCGGATATAACGACTGCGGATATAACGACTGCGGATATAACGACTGCGGATATAACGACTGCGGATATAACGACAATTCGCGAATAACGACAGAATTCCTATGCCCAGAGCAAAGTCCCGTCTAACTGTATACATTTAACTTCGGATATAACGACTATCTGAATAACGACAATTCGCGAATAACGACATGATTTTAGTGCCCCGAGGTCATATTCACTGCTTGAATAACGACTTTCTGGGCTTTTGACAGCTATTTCAAGTACCTGTCTAGCAGAACTTACCCAGAAGTACCAGAACCCATGCCATGCATGGTGATGGATAAAGGCACACATGCAAGAAGATGCAGGGGGGGGGGGGGCTTTTTATATTTTTATATTTTTGCTTCTAAATTAGGGCTCAAACGGTTAGTCCGATTAACCGGTTGCAGACCGGTTACGAAGAATTAACGGTTAACCGATAAAGATAACGGTTACGCAGTAACTTTTCAGTCAATTTTTCAAGTATCATACGCAATTTCTGGGCTGTCAACCCGGTCATATCTGGTCTCTTCGTGTGAGAGTATGTATGAATGAGCATGCAAGAGAATATACATGTGTGCGTTGTACTGAATAGGGTACATTTTTTGAATAAGTATAGTCAAATATATGGTTAAAAAAGAGTCCGCAGGATTGCCGTGGCTTGTAGGTCTACATGATTGTACAGTAATCATCATACATGTCATGTACATGTACATGTCCCTGTAGATGGCTCCAAACCTTGCAAAATGCTAATTTTTCCAATCAATTTCCCTTCCATATTGACTTTATAGTTCCTTTCAATTGTAATAAGAAAATAGAGAACACATTGGCACAGAGCATGAAAAGAGCTTCATTTTGATATACAAAAATATGGGTTCACATACATTCAAATGGGACTTCGGGTATAAGGACACTTCGCGAATAAGGACACTTTTCTGATGCCCCGCCGAGTGTCGTTATTCGCAAAGTTGACTGTACCTGTATTGTGTACAGCTATGTTTGCAATAGGGTCAACATACACAAACACATCTGACCATACAATCTAATAACTACATGTACTTACACGAGAGGACAAGATGAAAGCTTGGAACTTCATGAGTCGTCTCCATTTTCACAGACTTGCCAAAATGTTCTGCCTTCCAGTGGTGGCCATGATTCAAAAACGAGATGTTTTGTGATGATTGTATGTAGTGGATTCCCTTGCATTTCTGCGCACGACGAACTGTGATGCCGATGCTGAGGTTAGAAGTGGAATAATTTTGACTTGCTATGATGGCACCAAATGTGACCGGAACATTGCCTATTTTCGTGAAGTCCAGGTCTGTTATACTTATACTTGGCGAGCAACTGGCTAATGTGTCTTCTGCACATGCATGCAGAATTCGCGATGAGACCGCAATCACTGTGAATGTATTGTCAGCATTCATGTGCCAAATGCTGAGTTGTGTTTTGCATCTCTTACTGGTGGTGAGAGTCAGCGTACTGGGTAGAAACGGTTCACTGCGGCAGGCTTGTATGATAGGATATACTGAGAAGACGTACGTGGTGCTGTTGGGTGGCGGTTGTCTAACGGTACGTGTAGCGGTGCCATTGTCTGACGGTGCTAGGGTGTGTGCACTGCCATTGTCTGAATGTGCTGGCTTGTCATCGCTGTCCATTGGGTCAGTGACAGTGGCAGCTGCTTGAGAAGGATCACATGACAGAATGCACTGGCTAGTTCCACTCTTCTGTACATGTTGCCATGGCGAGCAGATGCAGTTGACATCGCGAACCAAGGCTGAAATAACATCAAGCCAACCAACACAGTACAAAAACAGGAACTATTTTTGTCCCAAACATGATTGCATCTGCAGTACAGGATAGACTATAGAGTGGACCAGAGTTAGGTAACCACCCCTTGGTGCCTGATGCATAACTAGTCATCATAGCTACAGTATTGTAGTCATCATAGACCAATGGCCTAGCAGTACAGCCTACATGTCACTATGCATACTCCTAGGAATAGTAGGAGGCATGAGATGACCAGCCTCTTGCAGGCCTGGAGCCAGCCACTCAGGGGTAGTACGGACCCCAGGTCGCCTCCTGGGCCGATGATTTCCAAATGCCCACTTTCTGTGTCATGGGAACTTGCATCGCTAACTCTATGCTGCATGATCGTATCTGGTTGCTCCAGCCACATGTTCCGCTAGCAATAGATATACAGCTAGCATGGCAGCATGGTACTCATCATTGGACAAGAAACTTGGGTGGGAGAGGCTCTAGTGAGGAGTATACGAATAGAGCTTAGCTACCGGTAGTACTTCCGTATAAATAATTGCACAGCGGACATTCCATGAATGCTGGAATTGATGAAATCCAGTATGGCCATGGTTTTACCCACCCTACCAATGTTGCCGTCCCTGTCTAAAGAAGGTTGGTCGCTCGTTGTGTGGAGTAGTCGCTCACACGTGTTTTTAGTGCTGTATTTCATTCCTGCCATCCATAATGATCTAGTTTTTATGAAGGCCAATACAACATGGGGATGCATCTGTTTGGAAAGAGGAGCACTGTAGTAAGAAGGAGCCACTGGTGTGTGCCACTGTGTGTGTGTGTGTGTGTGTGTGTGTGTGTGTGTGTGTGTGTGTGTGTGTGTGTGTGTGTGTGTGTGTGTGTGTGCGTGTGTATGTATAATTATATGTGTGTGTGTGTGTGTGTGTGTGTGTGTGTGTGTGTGTGTGTGCGTGTGCGTGTGCGTGTGCGTGTGTGTGTGTGTGTGTGTGTGTGTGTGTGTCTGTGTGTGACAGTAACACAGTCATCTGAACCAGGAATGACCAAAGAAGCATATTGTGTGGACTTAGCTCCCAGACTACAAGTGTCTCTACTTGAATCAAGCAGTCAGTAGGTGCCAGTACATGTACTGTATTGCAAAGCAGGCATACATGCCAAACCAGGCTCAATATTCGCCAATTTTTGATACTCGAACTAGGCTTTCATGACAATAAGGTCTGGGTGGCCATGTGAGGTCTTTCGCTAGGGCAGTGTTTGTCGAATCCCGATCAACATTGATCGTTGGATTGCATGGAATTGCACATGTTCGGTTTGTCGAAAATGTTTAGGTACTTTCCTCTCACTCGAGTTGGGCATTTGTGTGAAAGTTGTAGCCTGCTGGCACGGTGAACAGGTGACTGGTGGACACATCAGCACGTGACCGCTTACTCAGCCGTGTTCGATTGGGAATAACGGCCGAACGCTGCATTGCAGCCGTCTCGGACCGAAACTACATGTAGTCGGCTCCGCATCCAAAAGGCTGCAACATATGGGCCAATCTCGTTCACCCGTGCTTTTATATGAGCGAAATGGCGCTTTTAGCGACATTTTGCATACAAATCCCAATCTAGTAGGGCGCAGTTACCCAGTTCCGGTGGAAGTGGCAAGTTCGATTGGGAATAAAGGGGGAAGGGAGCGTTTCAGAATCCTCGGACCAAGACCATTCAACTCAGCACCCTGAAGGCTATGACAGTATGAGTGATGAAAGTTTAATTCAAGACCATGCTTCCCCTCTAAACACCAATGAATCACACAAAAAGTCAATAGGGAAAATACCAGTATTTCGCGACCAAAAATCTGGAAGCGGCTTTTACTCTGGAAATTCGGTACTACTCTCGTCCCCTCCCCCCCCCCCCTGTATTGTATCCCAAGATAAGAATGCTGCCAAAACTCAGGCACAAATCAGCACCGGTGGAAGCAGGTTTTGATTGGTCTGGCCACACCCTAGCCTTTCATGCGTTGCGCAAGAATGGACCCATTAAAAAAGAACGCCGAGTTAATTGTGAACTCTGTAGTTGGGAGTATCATCATCGGTCAAGTACTTTTTCGTACTTCAAGGGGGTACACTCTGACAGGCTGAAGGTGCATGCAAACACGCGCAAGCGCAAACATACCGTATGTATATCAGCGAATCGTAAACATTCCCGGCACTCCCTGACCCACATGCAGTAGGCACACTTAAAGGGGAAGTTAAGGCAAAAATTAAAATTTCACCAGTTGTAGTCTTCGGGGTGCTGAGTCGAATGGTCTTGGTCCGAGGAAGCTGAGACGCTCCCTTCCTACTTGAATCCCAATCGAACTCCCGCACTTCCACCGAAACTGGGTGACTGCGCCCTACTAGATGGGGATTTGTATGCAAAATGTCACTAAAAGCGCCATTTCGTTCTTATAAAAGCACGGATGACCGCGGTTGGCCCATTTGTTGTAGTCTTTTGGACGCTGAGTCGACTGGTTTTGGTCCGAATAGGCTGCGATGCAGCGTTCCTCCTTTATTCCCAATCGAACATGGTTGAACAAGCGGTCACGTGCTCCTGCGTACGCCAGTCACCTGGTCACCGTGCCTGCAGGGTACAACTTACTAGCCTGTTTGACCTTTTTTGGGTGCAGTCCTGTCACTCGAGTTGAACCTTGGTGTGAAAGTTGTCGCCTGCTGGCGTGGTGACCAGGTGATTTGGGAACCCAGGAGCACGTGACCACTTGTTCAACCATGTTCGATTGGGAATAAAGGAGGAACGCTGCATCGCAGCCTTTTCGGACCAAAACCAGTCGACTCAGCGTCCAAAAGACTACAACATATGGGCCAATCGCGGTCATCCGTGCTTTTATAAGAACGAAATGGCGCTTTTAGTGACATTTTGCATACAAATCCCCATCTAGTAGGGCGCAGTCACCCAGTTTCGGTGGAAGTGCGCGAGTTCGATTGGGATTCAAGTAGGAAGGGAGCGTCTCAGCTTTCTCGGACCAAGACCATTCGACTCAGCACCCCGAAGACTACAACTGGTGAAATTTTAATTTTTGCCTTAACTTCCCCTTTAAACGTACCCGGCTCCTACCCGGTTGCAAGAGTTGCGCCACGTACACGTACACGTATACGGTATAGCTGGTTCGTCTCAAAACCCCTAGAGCAGACAATGATTATAGTAGTAGTTCTCACCTGTTACAACTCCCAGGACCACCACCACCACTACGAGTGTGTACCTGCGCTGATCCATGTCAACTCCACCCCTCTGCGCATCCAGCAGTGCGCAGTGTCGTTTTCCAGGCAGTGGCAGCGTGCCGTATCCGTCGTTCCGTTCGTCGCACCACGAACTGTAAAATATAGACTCCACTAACAGCCTTGTACTCAGTGCCAGCTAGAACAATACGACCATGGTTCTATCCCGGATATACTTCTTAGCGCATTTCTTATCGGGTGCAGGCGATAAAATATTCGGGGTACTGGCAATAAGAGTCGATGACTCCTTCTTTGAGTCAGTGATTTCGCCTGTTCCGCTTCACGTCTTCGAGATCAGCTGGAACTTTAGTAGATGCGCGCGGTTCAATGAAGAGGTCTCCGAGACATGGACAAACGCACACTAGCCTTCACCCTTCTGGGAGTGACCGCTGTTCAGGAGGAGAAGTGTGGATAGCATTCTCGACGCAATGACATGCATTTCCATCCCACAACTGTCGCAAATCTCCACAACACCAAAGATGTAGTAACCACCACGCTGGTCGTGCCATGGCGCTATCTTTCTAAACTACCGGCCTCGTTGTTCACTGGGGGCTGGGGCCTTCTGGAATGCAGCTGCACTAGCAAATAAAATTTCATCTCTGATTCAACGGTTGTGAGTGGCGGAAGTTAGTTCACGGAGCAAAAGGCCCTGCCACTGTCTGTCTGTCACCTGGTCTTGTCTGGGCAGTTGCCAGAGAAGTTGAAACCAGGGAGTAGTAAAATACTATAATATTTGACTACTCCCTGCTTGAAACTGAACAGAGAATTATAATTTTTACATTGGTGCAGTAAAGCATGTTAGATTCAGCGATTTCACCCCAAATCGGACACATTCAGTCAAGACTTTTCTCAGAACAAATGCCCTAATAAATCAAAATGTTCATTTTTCTAAGTTTGTAAGTAACAAACACAACCCCTGTGTTCTGGAAGTATGAGGGGATTTCGTTTAGCCGGGAGCAAACAGAAACATCGATATTATGACCCTACCACTTCACTGCTATACGTGCGCGCGGGCGCGCGCGCGCACACACACACACACACACACACACACACACACACACAAACACACACAAACACACACACACGCAGGCATAGAGAGGGCTTTCTCTCAAAATCCGAAAGGTTCTTTTTCGGATCGGTTATTGCATAGTGTTTGATAAATTGAACAATTTGCAGATGCATTGTAGATCTGCACAGTACTGCAGACTACTGACTACTGTGCAGTACGTGTGATTCCATGAGCTGCTCTGTCCCCGGGGAAAATTGCGATTCCGCGGCCGCGTTTTTTTCCGCGTTTTTTGCGATTTTTTAAAAGACCGCGTTTTCCTCGATTTTCCCGCGTTTTTTGAACTTTTTTGTTGCACTACACGTACACACAGTGCACTGTTCGGTCAGCAACGTCTCATCGTGGCGGCTTTTTACTGAAATATGACGAGTGATTACACCAGAGACTTGTAACTGATTGATTTCACTACATACTCACTGAAAATTGCCGCATTCACCGCATATTTACCGCAAATTCACCGCAAATTATGCCATATTATGCCGCGTTTTTCCCCGCGTTTTTTGCGATTTTTTTCCGCAATTTTCCCCGGGGACAGGCTGCTTGCTGGCAGTGACCATTATTTTCGGAAGTAACATACACAAAGCATCCTGTTGACAAAGCCAACCAACTGCTCTTGACTCGACCTTCATCATGTGCAAACGTCTGGCCAATCACCGTCATCCCCGCGGCCCCGGCTTCATGCGAAGGACAGCAATGTGCGTGTGAAATGTATGCCGCGGTACACAGTAAGATGTACTGGCAAATCATTCACAACTTTGCATAACACAGCAGACCTAAATATGGATACACATCAACATTACATGCAACCCTCCTCCCCTCAACTTGCTCAAGCCAAACTCCAGCCAGCTACACACAGACATGCATCTCCACCTCCAAAACACACAAAGTCTGTCTGGCAGAAAGTGATCAGCACATAATTATACCTTCAAATGAAGTATGCACCACACCCAATCTACCATACAATGGGTGCATGTGGTAATTATAGTTATTATAACAATTGGCTCAAAGAAAATAATAGTTGAGAGTCTTTTTTATACTTTGGAAGTGGTAGCATACCCGTGCCATGCGCTTGATAATGCAGGAAAACCAGGCAATACATTGCAGCGCTAAATTGCATGTACTCCTGTTAGACATGATTATCTTAGAGAGCTCATCACAAAAGTTATCAAACGCCATCTCGGGTCGTATCATAACGCCCAAATTCAGCACTGCGAAGTGCACAGACAACCGTGAAAGATACCAACACCTTTGGCCCATCGTCTAACGTAATTGGATACTAACAACTAGACCTTTTAGGTATGTCAAAGCATCAATCTATTTGTGATAATTATAATTATAAGAATGAAGGATGAGCGGCTCAAGGCAATTGATTCAGTAAATGTACAATGCACTTGCAAAGATTTATCACATTGCGCTAAGCAACTGAATAAGTCTATCTTGTAGAGGCAAGGTCTTGCATAATAATTACTTCATAGTCCATTTTGTGGAGGCAAAAGTCTTACAGGACTACATAATGAGGATGTGTATCAGCAAAAAGGAATTCCCTACTCTCATCGACGTAGGGAGGTCTGACAGGGGCACCTTATCAGAGCCACTCCGAGGTCCTGGAGCGATTCTTCTTCTTGCTGAGATCCACCCGAGCATATACCGGTACGTTAACGGCCAGTTTGTTGCCACTGCTGCTGTTACTAGCATGGCTGGAGGCATTGACCACTTTCTGTCGCTGCATCGGCAGCACAGCGTAGGGTGATGCTCGACTGTCAACTGGCTCATCAATGTCACTTCCGACATCAGAATTTTCACAGGCGGCAACTGAGGACTTCTGCTTTTCCTCTCTCAATGGATAAGCTGCCTCTTGCTCATATAAACCAGACACATGTATCTGACTGATAACATCAGTGCCACTGACCTGATCGTCAAGGTCTTGCTCATCGTCATCATCATCACCACCATCAGCCTCGCGTTCAGTTGCCATTGTAGAGTAGGTATCGAGCAGACTGTTGGGTCCACACATGCCGAGCATATCCAGAGGCACATCGTACATGTACGGCTCAACAGTACATGCAGCCGTTCCGTCGCCCTCATCGGCAGATGCATGGCGATATGGTGGTAGTGTGCTGAGGGCGCTTTGCTGCCGGGGCATTCCACGCGAGTCCTCAGAATCAGCACAGAGGATGCTCGAAACTCGTATGGATGGTGCAGCACACGTGGTCGTAGTAGATGGACGACTCTTGTGTACTGGCGTGTCGGCGCAGGCCAGAGCAGCCGCCGAGTAATTCACCTTTGGGCTCATCTTGAACTCACTTTGTCCAGCAAGCATCTTCAACATGTCAATATGCTGCGGTCCTTCTTCCCTTTTCTCGCTTTGGTCATGTTTCTCCTCCTTCTTGGTTTCTTGTTGCCGTTTACCGATCTCTCTTCGGTAGAGGATAGTTAGCGTGATACAGATGCCCAAGACAATTCCCAGGAACAAAGAGATGGCGATGAGAATAAACGTTAGGGAAGAACTCTTGTCCTGGCCTGGCTCTGGCTGACGTGCCGTTAGTATGCGGATCTCCAGGGAAGATGTACGTTCCAGCGGTTTAGGTTCAGTTTGCGCGGTGTGTGCAATACCATCGTCAAGAGTTGTAACCTGCACTGGAACGCCAGTGCTACCGCTATCCGGAGAGCCTGGATACTCCTCGTCTGGCAAGGTTGGCGTGGGGGGAATTCTGTCCAGGGTTGGTCCATCTTTCCTAGTATGCTCCAGGCCTTCGTTTCTGCTATGGTGCGTCGTGTTGTCTGCCGGTTCCTGGCCATCTTCCGTTTGGGCTGACACTTTGTCTGAGCTTGGCGTAGTGCCAGATGTCTCTTCTTCGGACTCTGCACCATCAGCATCTACATATACATTGCGACACAAGACACATGAATATTACGTGCATTATAGAGAGAATTTATAGTCTAGACACAAGAACCAGCCAGATTGCCTGAACACCACCAATACCGTAGACTCCCGCGGATAAACCCATGGGCTTGTCTGTTTCACAAGGAATTTCGGTGGGCTTATACGAGAACATGGGCTTATACGCTGGCATGGCCTTCTACGCCGACACCAAAATTGTGCTATTGAAAAGCACCAAGAAAGTGAGTAGTACATTGCTGTAAACCACTGTGCAAACAAAAACAACCAATGATTGTGTAGAAATGTACAAAAAAACTACAATCATGTATTACGCGTATACGTACATGGTATGACCTACAAGCCCATGGGCTTGTACGACGAAGCTTTGTGATGTTCAAACTAGCCCTGGGGTTATGCGCGAGCATGGGCTTATTCGCGGGATTTCTACGGTATTGCAGGACAGTAGGTCACAACTACGAATCCCTGCAGCTAATCAGCTCGCAAAATTTGAAAAGGCCCTTTTCTATTATCTTGACATTGCATTTAATATGAGGGACTTTAAAAGCATTGAGTGACGGACATTTGACCCTGTGTTGAGGGCACATGCTATGAAACAGCTTCCGCGGAGTTACTACTTTCATTTTTGCACGCCTTATATTTTTCGGTTGAAGGTCAGCTTTTGTGTTGGAGTGTCTCCCACTGAAGCAGGGCAGGTGTGGTAGGATGGTGTGACACGTGGCACAACAGTTGTAACACATTTTTGCATCATACAGCGTGTAACGTGTAAGAGGTGTAACCTTGCCTTTCAGTGGCTACAGGGGCGTCGCACACGGTACGGTCACTACGGTATTGACCGTACCACTATTTGACCCAAGTACCCTGTGAATCAATAAAATGCACTGATTTGGGCTCTAATTTTCCAAATTTTTCGGCTCAGCCACCCCTCCCCTACGAATAAATTGTACTTCAGATGGCTGACCGTACCACACTAAAATACCTTCCGACGCCCCTGTGTTACCTGTATGTCGTCACCTCACCTCCACTGCATTCATTATGCTTGTCAGTACGGTGAGTTGCCAATCACAACAAACCTGTTCACTAGCTTGTAACAAACCTGCAGTCTTTTTAGAGAAATTGGGACCTGAACCAGTATTGATGTGCATACTTAGTCTCACACACACTCTCTCTCTCTCTCTCTCTCTCTCTCTCTCTCTCTCTCTCTCTCTCTCTCTCTCTCTCTGTCTCTGTCTGTCTCTGTTTTTCTCTGTCTCTGTTTGTCTCTGTCTCTGTCTCTGTCTCTGTCTCTGTCTCTGTCTCTGTCTCTGTCTCTGTCTCTGTCTCTGTCTCTGTCTCTGTCTCTGTCTCTCTCTCTCTCTATCTCTGTCTCTGTCTCTGTCTCTGTCTCTCACTCACTCAATGGCTGTCTCTTTTTCAGTGTTTACTGTTCATACCATTTGCTGGCGTCGAGTGCCGTTCCTCCTTCTGTTTCTGCTGCCTCCGTCTGCTAGGATCTTCACAGTGCATGTGGTGTGCATCAGAGATGCAACACAGAGCACCAGTCAAACACATCACCTTTGGCTTTGACGCCTGATGTTTCTGTAGTGATGTAACTGCATAAAACAGAGCACAGTGACAAGTCCGTGACATCATTTCTCTCAAGATTGCGACCTATTAATTGCTTGGCATCTTTAAAATTCAAGATGTGTTTGTCTGTCCCTGCGGGAATTTGCGGAAAAATGTGTCGAAAACTTGCGCCAGAAATTGCGGAAAAATGTGTCGAAAACTTGCGCAAGAAATTGCGGCAGAAAACAACAAAAAATGCGGCGAAATGTGCGGAAAGATACGGCACTTGCCAGGAATTTGCGGAATTATTTGCAGAAAATTGCGGATCTGGGCCAAATCACGAAACTTATTGCATTCTTAGAATCGTTATTTGCGCAGTATATCCACTCGGGAGTAGTACGAGTCGTGCTGTGCAAATAACCTACAGGATCATGGAAAGCACTGTGTGAAAAGTGCATAATAATGTGAGATATAGTGCAGAAAACAACAAAAACACGGGAAATCGCGGATTTTGCTCAAAATCGCGGGTTTGGGCCAAAATCGCGAAACTTGTTGCATCCGTGTAATCGCGATTTCCTGGAGGGACAGGTTTGTTAGCCAATCCCATCTTCGACTTCCAACAGACATTTCCCAAAAAACAGCAAAATAAAGAACTCATCAGATGATAATGAGCAGGCATGAATCTTCTAAAATCGAAATGTTTCAATTTATTTTCTATTTTCAAATACTACTCCACGTACTACTGCATTACGCATTGCCCGCTACATTTCGTAGCTAGAGCACTCTGGCGCTAGAGCGACGAGCTATTTTTTTAAACAAGTCTGTGGTGTTTCCTTTGCACCAGGGAGTAGTACAGTACTACTCCCTGCTTTGCACCATGGCTGGTAGCTTGGCTTACTTTTAAACAGCTCGTAGCTGTACTGATGAGGCCGAGGCCTTCATGGCCAAAACAGCTTGCTGTCTACAGCACTGGGTATTTTCGAATGCTATAAATTTGCGTGTGATAATTAGAGAGATTTTCACTTCCGGATATCTTGGCATAATTGGTTCACCCCTTGGTAAAGCCTGTGAAAATGAGACGACTCTATCAGGTGTCCCAAAGGACCAGTAGAGCCAGGGTCAAAGGGTGTCATAAGACCCTGGATAAGGGTGTCACATGTCCCTGTATAAGGGGTCGCATGACCCTAGATAAGGGGTCACATGGCCCTGGATATGGAGGTCACCTGTGTGTAGCCTGTAGGGAACACATGTTGGTGTCCATTGAGCGGTGGTGGTTGCCTTTGACAGGCATCGTTCTATTCGTCTCTCCTACCCCTACCCCCTCCACCCCCCCCCCCCCAACACACACACACACACACACCATTGGAGCAAATGTTCTTGTCTAACACTAACAGCAACCACCTACCTGTGAATATCAGCTGAAGGCGCGGTACAAGATGCAGAGGTGTGCTTTTGCTGCCGTCAAGTATATTCAAGTCGTGAAGAACTCGGCGAAGAGAGCTGCTACGGGGACGGGCATGATTATATTGAAATCCGTGATGTGCATTGGCTACGTCATCACTGCCGGCACTGAACAATTCACACCCGGTGTTTGGGAAAACAGTTAGACCGAACAACACACTGTCTTGTGTGATGTCACTTATGATCTCTGCCAACATGGATTTTTCTCCTTTTCGTATGGAAGATTGACGTCTGTATCGAAGATTCGACAGGTCAGCATGCCGAGAAAAGTCGCTCAAACTGAGTTTGTTCGAAATGGCTATCGGCTTCAGTAGGCCACCGATAGTACGTCTCACCCACACACTCAATGCTACAGTGCAGTTTCCAACACCGGGCAAATGCAAAGCAGAAAGGGAGGCAGCAACAGCCGGCGATACGCCAACCCCATCCAACACTAGCGTCTGTGCATAGTGAGCATCGCTGGATATAGTGTCTTCGACCAGTGGCACATCAGGATACACATCTAATGTAGCCTTGGACTGGCTACTGGCTGAATCAGCAGGCAACATTCGAAGATGGCGCTTTAAATTGCACATGGACCGGTCGCTCTTGCAGACCGTTGTAAATACTGCAAGAAACGGTAATGCACGCAAGAAACATTGAAAACAATTGGATCCGAAAGCTGTCATACACATTGTGCAGGTTACACGGACTTTCAGTGGACACGGAGTTGAAAGAACACAATGGCGTAAGTATTTAAAAGTACTACTAAGTTTTGTTTATACACGCTACTTGGCCTCATATGGCACAGCCATGCTGACAAACAAAGCTTGACCACAATGTGATTGTGAAACGCGTTCTGTTGGGAATTGTACAGGGGGTTGACGAAGACTTACAAAGTAGAAGACAGCAGGAGAGGAGTGTGCCGCTGCGTTTTCTCCCGCTGCAACCAGCCATGTCGCGAAAGAAGCGAGAGCAAGATCCGGCGGATGGACGTTGTCGGCTAATGCATACACTGGCAAGCCAAGGAACGCTAACTCAACAGTAACGAGAGAGTTTCGAAGAAGATTACTCGGTTACAAAGTCCCAGAACTGAAGGCAAACTGCGGCTATCTAGCGATCAGAAATGGCCCGGCCTAAACTGGCTAAAGCAGCTAGCTATCCAGCTAGAAATTTAGAAGCAGCAGCAGTTTGATAACACCTGCACATCACCTGGAAAGTAATCCCTTGTGTAGAAATCATCCCTTCCGGCAATCCCAACAGAAAACGTCCAGCTGTCAAACTACTATAGATCTACGCCCCTGTCTTGCCAGCTTTGACTATTTTTAGTGTGAAAGGACTGCTCTTTTCTTCTTCAAAGTTTAGTATCAAGCTTTACATCATGTAGATTTTACAGGTACCGGTTCGAGGCACGGTTGTCATTTCAGCCTAATTCAGGCACAAAGTCGGAACACGCCATCTGTAACAGTATAGACTTGATTGATTGGAGAATTCGTCGAATGATGTTCAAACCAGAGGTTATAAAGCAAAAGAAAGGTGAGAGCCGCAGGAGTGAGAATAGTAGGAACACAAGGTGTTACCATAAGACAAGCAAGAAGTGTCAAGGTAAAACTATTACACTCTCCCGGCCCCATAGGAAGCCCAAGGTTCTATTAGATAACACAATCCAGTTAGGAGATGCAATTGTGGAAAGGGGAATATTAAATAATCACTCATGCACATGCATAACCACATTGAAGTGTAATCCAACTCAACTTCATCACTCTCACAAGGAGATGACGCAAAACTATATCAGTCTATAACATAATTATTAACTATCTCAGTAAGAGATGCATATGGCTCAGCCCAGTTAGATCAAGGCTGCTGTCGTTGTGAGGCTAGATAGTTCTGCAGCGGTTTAATATTCCGACCAGACTCATCACATAGGTTGCCAGCGGGCTCCCACGTAGCTTCGCTGCTGGGGTAACCCTTCCAATGCACCAGGAAGTGTTGCTCACCACTGCGGTGTCGGTGATTCAAAACGGCTTCGACAACATAGCGTGTGTGTCCATCTAGATCTGTGAAGGGCGGAGGCGGGGGTTGGTGTCTTCCAGGAATCGTGTTCTCTTCGTAGCGTTTAAGAGCAGTGACATTAAACACGGGACTAGATCCGGAGGACTTGAGCTTGATGTAGCAGGTAATTGATGTCGTCCAACTGTAGCAGCCACGTTGTCCCGAGCGCGGCGGATCTCACGGAAAGCGGCGTATAGCAGAGCAGTAGCGGCCAGGAGCACAAGGCACGTCAAAGGGCAAACGATGATCTCAACCATCCTCAAGCTACCAGTGTAACAGTATAGACTTGATTGATTGGAGAATTCGTCGAATGATGTTCAAACCAGAGGTTATAAAGCAAAAGAAAGGTGAGAGCCGCAGGAGTGAGAATAGTAGGAACACAAGGTGTTACCATAAGACAAGCAAGAAGTGTCAAGGTAAAACTATTACACCATCTCCTCAGAACGAACTGGCACTGGGCCACTCATAGCATACGCGAGTAAGAGGGTACAGTGTCCTACCCTGCTTGGACATACATGTAATCTCTCCTCACGGACAGTCTCCTCTTGAATTTAAAAGTCTAACAGCGTTCACATCAATACTCAACTTATTCTTTTGCTCACTGAGCAATACAATCTTTCCATTTTCTTTCTTCTGTTTTCTTTTTCAATTTAATCCTCCCTACCCAATATCCCTTTGGTGCGTCCATGAAGCTATGAAGCCGAGATCTATGGTCGGCGGGGGCCTCACCACCACACTCCATCATTCACCCCGTGGCCCAGTGTCTGGAGATATGTGGATTTTGTAGAAAAGAAAAAAACAAAAACAAAAAAAAACACACACACACGTATGTCAACCCCCTCCCACTGTAAAAATGTCCTTTGAAAATAGACGGCCCCTGAGTCCTGACGAGTGACCATCGTATTCATAATGAATACTCGGACAATCGGAATGCAGTTCCATGTATAAAATGCAGTCGTCTCCTGATAATAACTGTGCAGGCTTTATAAGCGAAGTTCTTTACAACCGAAATGCACTCACCCCATACAAGGAACACATCATAACAGGCATATGGCCAACCACTTGGTTTACATGCAGCCGTACAAGATGTGGTTCATTATGAACGAAAATTGACAATAATTATTATGTTTGAGACCATGGCCACACGACTGCAGGCACCAAGCCGGCATCAGGATAGAAGGGAGAAGGCAATGGTGGGAATCATTACACATTGACGAAATCTGCAGACGACGTGCATCGCCAGCAGTGGTGCAAATTCCCAGCGTGCAGACATGACGCCAACTGCCACTATGACCACCGGCGGCATACATCCCCGTTTGCACACCCACAAACACCAGGTGCAGAACAGTCACTCTCACATAACCGTGACTTGAAGCAACATTATCATTTGGTGTTCCCAGCCCGGTGAACACCTGCTAGAGCAGTGTAGGCAGCATTGGCCAACCAGCCCAGTATGGCATGTACTAGCCACGTCAGCAGAGCCGGTGAACATACACATGCATCTGATGATTGTGTTATATACATGCTCAAGAAAAAACAAAGGTCCCAAGGCTTGGGAAAAAAACCAAGGCGCCGACGGACGTATGAATGAGGAAAAAACGGATGTATAACCCCAAGTAGCAACATGGCAGCATGAAAACAGGCACAACCGTGTATGATATCTAAAGCCAAGAAAGTAAGGGAAGAAGATGAGCAGACATGAAGGGTGAGAGGGCGGGGACACTGGTGAGACTCACAAACTGACTGAAGAAGTCAGGCACGAAGAACAGCAACAAAAGAAGAAGAAAACATCAGATGCCATATTCGCAAGAGAAAACAATTGTTGCGCAAGAAATAATTTCTCTACTTCTGCAGCAAGTAAGACGACAAAGTGCAGCTCACAACTTACACCTGCGGCTGACGTGTTCACTTCAGGAATCACGGTCGATATGTACATGTATGGGCCATACACGCACACCACACGTGCATGTAAGGATGATGATGATACACACTACCTGAGCAGTGTTCAGTGGTGTGCCTCCACACTGAGCGGGTTGTTCAGGTCGATCAGTCTGTTCTCACTGCTGCTTAGGTGACTTGATCACTCTATTCAACTCAAGAGGCCAGTAGTACCCTGCACAGAAATATATACATGGACAACAAAAATTGAAAACATGACGCATAGATAATAATAATCATAACAACAACTTTATCAGGACGATCCGAAGGCTGACCGCCTACAGTGGGGTCCGTCACATTGAAGGATGATGGTACAAGAGAGTACAGATTAGGAAAGGGGGGTAATATTATTATATACTAATATATCCCCCTCACCCCCAACTTCAAAATGAGCGACTCTAGAAAGCTGTTCTTTATGTTGTTGAAGTAATGCCATATCGGCTATAGCATAGATTGACTAGCCATCCTAATATCCAGCGAGGGAGCCAGTCCTAACTAACTGACAAACAGCAAGGAAGTGGTTGCGCTGGCAACTCACTGCCAGTGACAAGATTCCATCCGACTCAAAACACTCAACCTTTCTTTTGATTTACGAGTAAGTAGCATTGCACTACACTGACAACACAGGGCAAGAGCTGCATGTAGCGATACCAGCAGCAGCAATGCCAGCAGCAGCAATACCAGCAGCAGCAATACCAGCAGCAGCAGCAGAAGCAGTCCTAGATCTACATCGGGACTGCATGTGCACCCCCCCCCCCCCCCCTCCCAATTTCGACCCAGGTTCAGCATGCACATAATTATCGTCGTGCAAGAGACGAGCGACTATGAATGTCATGCACCAGCTATCCTAAACTTAACAGCATCCCTAATTTAAAGGGGGACCAGCTATGCCCATGCAAGACATCCTACAAGTAATGTTTCATGGAAATCTGACTGTATGTCAAACGGTACTACAGCACCGGCAGCGCAACAAGTCAGTGTGTATACTACGGTCAAGAATACAGATACAGACCATCGCAGTACAGACCATCGCAGTACAGACCAACTAACTTTACAAGACAGAACCTGCACTGTGATGTTACCGCTCTATAACACCGAGAAGTAAGGTCGTCAAAAAATTCACAAAGTCTGGTGTGTGGCATATTCACTAGCCCTTTCGCAAAGATGCTCGCCACTTTTTCGCAACTTTTCGTTGTTTAGGCCACCCTTTGTTAATTCATTGTTTAACGTCCTTTTTTTCGCGAAAAGGTACGTGGGAGGGCGGAAAAAAAACAAAAGCCCATTCCAAAAACTGGAAACCCCAATCAAACATTTTGACCAGTAAAGCATGTGATATATACGATATTTCTGGGTCTAACGGCACTTGCAGGCATAGAACAACACTCTTTGATGGTACATTGGAGCACATGCCTGATGAATCCAACAAAACAGGTACATAGCTTGGAGTTAGCATGTCATGAATTCATTACATCTGGATTTTTACTAGGACACACACCGTACGATATTTAAAAGCCAACAAAAAAAGAAAAAGAACACAAGACAAAGGCATGCCCGGGAGGCAAGGTTATAAGTTTAAGGTCATGATCGGCACACTGTGAAACTACATGTCATGTCCTGGACATGGACCATATGTATGTAGTGCGCATGCTCGCACGTGAGCTTGGTCTTTTTCGGATAAGGAGTTTGAGATGAACTGAAATCTGTAATGGCCTCGAGTGTGTGTGTGATCGAGCTGGATGAGTCCGAGTAGAACCCACCTGGGGTAGGACACAACAACTGGCGACGAAGATATGGCTCGGATATCATCGCTTCAGCCGTTTACCGGCGGCGACTTTGAAGAGTTTGAGGAAAGACTTGAATTCTATTTCTTTGCCAATGATATTGGAACCGTGGCTGCTTCGGCCAATGCTGCAGACAAGTTGGCTGCCAGCAAGAAAAGGAAGGCTGTATTAGTGAGTTTGCTGTCTGCGGAAGTCTACTCGATTTTGAGGAGCCTCTGTCTGCCAGCGAAAGTAGCTGACAAGA